CCGATACTTAAGAAGAACATAAGAACCATATATATAATAAATAAAACCTTTTTACCTTGTTGATAGTTTTGAGGACTATATGATAGCCGATGCATCCATTACCCATATTCCAAGACTGGTCGATTTTTTTTATTTAATATTCCAAAAATATATATTATATAATAGTAATGGTATATTTCTTCCATGGATTCCATGTAATGGATTTCCCCATCATTTCGCTTTTTTGCGGATCCATAGGCAATGCAATCAGCTCGCCCGACATGAGCTGTCCGCTTTGCCACTCCTCCGGTCAGGCTCTATGAAGTGTCCTTGCGGCTATGAGACACCTTTGACCAGGACAAGACGAGCATTCATTTGTCATATCTGTTTGACAGGATGGTAGAGTTCTAGTCCTCGTTCCACATTGGCTGTTCAGTCGAGTGTAAACTTTAAAGGCTTTGCTGCCGTTTCTCATTACGAAGAAGAATCCATTTTGCCCCATTTCTAATTACACGCGCGGCGTCTCAAAGGACGATGGAATCAAATTGCACATTTGGGCCCAATAATCTAACTAATGGTGGGCTAGTTAAGGCCCACTACCCATCCGGGTCCATTTATTGGGGCCTTTGAACCCTTTTCTCCTGCGTACGGGTGGGCGTTGTGTGTGTGCTGAGATAATGTTTCATTGTGTGACAGTTTTTGTGGGCAGGGACATGGATGGTTGCCCTTTTGTGGGGTTAACTTGTTGATGATTGATAGCACCGAAAGGATTTAAGGGGGCTGAAAGGAGGGGGGGGGGGGCTATTGTCCCTGGAAGTGTGTGATAAAATGTCCTTGAACCGATTCTCAGCGGGCAAATAACAAATACTCGTAAATCGAAAATAAATAGAATCACGTCAGGGAATTGGAAATTGTTGAAAGGCTTTTGGTTTAAAAATTAAGCAGATGCTCTTGAAAGAATATGCATTTAATTCCTTATCAATTATTTAGGGATTTTGTTGCACGAATGGGATGTACTACTCTTCAGAATGTTTATAATCGGAAGGCATGTCAGTGATATCTCTATATAGTCTTTAAAGTACTTTAACCTATCCCAATGTGCTGAGCATCTCCAGTCCATATAAATCGCATTTTAATCGTGTAATAAAATCAAAAGTCAATCTAAAGAAATTCAAATTCAAATGCAAAAAATACGAAAAAAACAGTCCAATTCTCAATGAATTTCCTGCTGATGAAATTTTATTGTTTACCTTGATACACCTAAAAGGTTATTTTGATATCCCATCAAATATGCATTTTTATTTAAATTCGCGGTAAAAAATAATCCCCCAGATATTTTAATAATTAATTTGCAAACATATGAGAAGCCTCACAAACATATTAAACGTAAATGTAATTTTTATTTGTAGGTTTTCGTTTCAATTACAGAGCAACAATTAACTGTCAGGTAAATAAAGAAAAGTTATTTCTGTTTTTTTTCTTTTTGTTGAATTTTAATCAAACAGTCTTTGTACCATACTTTGTACCATTGATACGAAAATAGGGATATTTTTTTCCATTTTTCTTCATCAGCAAGTTAAAGTTTTTGCTTCATTTGGTTATTTGTTGTTTGGTTCTCCAGAAGTTGTTATTGTTCGTGGGTCTCTGATTCACTTTCATTTAACAAATTGTATGCTGGTAGTATTCGGCTATGGATGCCTGATTCCGATTCGGGGCACGGACCATGGCAAGAATGTTAGGGGCAGGAAAACGGAGCGAAGAGGCATTTGCAACAGTTGAACAGTTCGTTGCTATTGTAATTTGATTGGAGAAGGTCGTCAGGGGTTCTTGTAAATGTATTAAGACGCCTTTATTATTCTATGATTTCTGCACTGGAATTTCAATGTTTTTATTAAGAATATTAATGGATAATGTACATAAATTATTTTTAGCGTCTTGGTAGAGTTTTTAGACTATATGATACCCGATACTTAAGAAGAACATAAGAACCATATATATAATAAATAAAACCTTTTTACCTTGTTGATAGTTTTGAGGACTATATGATAGCCGATGCATCCATTACCCATATTCCAAGACTGGTCGATTTTTTTTATTTAATATTCCAAAAATATATATTATATAATAGTAATGGTATATTTCTTCCATGGATTCCATGTAATGGATTTCCCCATCATTTCGCTTTTTTGCGGATCCATAGGCAATGCAATCAGCTCGCCCGACATGAGCTGTCCGCTTTGCCACTCCTCCGGTCAGGCTCTATGAAGTGTCCTTGCGGCTATGAGACACCTTTGACCAGGACAAGACGAGCATTCATTTGTCATATCTGTTTGACAGGATGGTAGAGTTCTAGTCCTCGTTCCACATTGGCTGTTCAGTCGAGTGTAAACTTTAAAGGCTTTGCTGCCGTTTCTCATTACGAAGAAGAATCCATTTTGCCCCATTTCTAATTACACGCGCGGCGTCTCAAAGGACGATGGAATCAAATTGCACATTTGGGCCCAATAATCTAACTAATGGTGGGCTAGTTAAGGCCCACTACCCATCCGGGTCCATTTATTGGGGCCTTTGAACCCTTTTCTCCTGCGTACGGGTGGGCGTTGTGTGTGTGCTGAGATAATGTTTCATTGTGTGACAGTTTTTGTGGGCAGGGACATGGATGGTTGCCCTTTGTGGGGTTAACTTGTTGATGATTGATAGCACCGAAAGGATTTAAGGGGGCTGAAAGGAGGGGGGGGGGGGGGGCCTATTGTCCCTGGAAGTGTGTGATAAAATGTCCTTGAACCGATTCTCAGCGGGCAAATAACAAATACTCGTAAATCGAAAATAAATAGAATCACGTCAGGGAATTGGAAATTGTTGAAAGGCTTTTGGTTTAAAAATTAAGCAGATGCTCTTGAAAGAATATGCATTTAATTCCTTATCAATTATTTAGGGATTTTGTTGCACGAATGGGATGTACTACTCTTCAGAATGTTTATAATCGGAAGGCATGTCAGTGATATCTCTATATAGTCTTTAAAGTACTTTAACCTATCCCAATGTGCTGAGCATCTCCAGTCCATATAAATCGCATTTTAATCGTGTAATAAAATCAAAAGTCAAACACGCGCTTGGAAATGAAAATTGCAACAGACTCACACTGGGGCTCGTCCCAGACGGAAAGACTGAGTATCTGAGAACGGGGTATACGGGGGTCTCAGGGGCGTGGGGCATGGGACGCGAGTGAGTATCAGTCTGGGTTATATAGTAGTAGTAAGTAAACCCGGCAGTGAGTCAATGATGTGGATGTCGATGACAATTGTCGACGTCTGACGACGACTGTGGCACGCACATTTCGTGTAGCAGTGTAGCAGTGTGTCTGTGTGTTTACGTCTGTATTATTTGTTTTGTTTCCACACGAACACGGCCCCAACACCCCCCTCAGACATTGCAGGTTTCTGAAAAATCTGTGCTCCCCCCGTCCACAGGGGGAAGCCCCCCCTGGTGATGTTTGTTTGTTAAAATACGTAATGTCGTGGGGTTTATCCACACTGGCCAATGGATTGTCGTGTTTGCGTCTGGTTTCTATTTTTAGTGCGCCAGTTGTATTTTTAGACAACCAGACGTTGAACACACACAGCCATACAAATACACATACCTGACAAACAGAAACAACTTCAGAAGAAACGGTTCGAAAAGTGCAATATAGGCGGCTCCCCGCCCCATAAAATGCAACTGCAACTTGTTGCGCTAAAAAGCGGAGAAGAAAAACAGAGAGACCGAAAGGCCGAGAGTCGAAGAACCGGAGAGTGAGAGAACAAGATATGATGATGATGGAGAGAATGGCTGGCCATTGAGAGTGCCAAGGCGTCCCACGTTGCGGCTACGCGATATTTTTTTGTTACACAACTGAAGCTGTTTGTCGATTTGTTTGTTTGTTGATTACAAATGAACTGCATTGCTCTCTCTCTCTTGACCCTCTCTCTCCTCTCTGCTCCTCCTCATTCTCCATTTTGGTCTTCTATGGCTGTCCGTTAAATGTTTTATCACGTATCCGTCTAGTGTTGTTCTTTTTCTTTACTTGCGCCTCACTTTTCGATTTGTTTTTCTCATATTTTCTTCGATATGTGATTCTATTTTTAGACGACTGCCTCTCTCTCCTGCTCTCTCTTCCGTGCTCTTTGGCTCTCTGTTTACTTTATAAATATTTAAATTGTTGTCACGTACTAAGTTCTTAATAGGTTACGTTATGTGTTTATTTAACTCATTTTGATTAGAAGTCGAGAAAAAATATAGCCAAGCCACACGCGCTATATATTATATAGTACGGCCATGCGTTCCTTGTCTCCCATTCCCATTCCCATTCCCGTTACAAAGTTCAACTTTTACTCTTCCGTTAGTGAAAACCCATTTCCCGTTCCCATTCCCAACTGTTAGCGGGAATGGCCAAAAAGCAAATAAATAACAACTACAACTAAGTCAAAAAAAAAAAAATCCCCCACGCAGATGTTCGAGTTCGAGTCTTTAAATTAAATTGTTTACTCAAGTGTAATTAGGTAACAGAAATAATAAACATTGAAAAAGACACACACGTTTGTTGGTACATAAATTCATAATTAAATAGTTTCCAGTTCCATTATAAAACTCAGTACTTGAGTGCTTTAGTCCTCGACAGCTGTGCCAAAGTGCCAAATAAACTCTTAAAGGCGTGTAGGAATTTCAGGAACTTTATTCAGAATGAAATATGTCTGATCTTAAGTCTAAGAGATGTGAATAGGGGAAAAATAGGTATTTCCGGGTTGTGGTTTTGGGATTATTTTGATAAGAAAAGTATAAACCATTAAATATGATTGAAAAATTTAAAAAAATACCCTTTTTGATGAATATTCTGATCTTACCTCTAAAAGATACGAATAGATGCAAAAAATATGTACAATTCCCGTTTGAATATTTATGTACAATATTCACATGAATATTCCTGGGTTTGTTAAATCTTATAGAAACTATCCTTTTAAATATCCCTAAAAATCACCCAAAAATTATGTTCATTATTTATTGGTTGATGGTCTATGTTGAATTTGGAATTTGGTGGAAATCGACGGCCGAATGACAGGCATTTTGGCTATAAAAGTTTACAATTTTTGATCCTGATAGGTCCAATGAATTTAGCATCACATGAGCAGGAAGCTTTAACCCGAGCCTAGAGGGTGTACTAGATGGGATGATGAACTAGTTCATTGACTTGGGCATATTCATTTTGGCCGACTTCTTGAACTCCCCGGCGATCTTCTTGATGGCTGGCGGTATCCTCTTGGCCACTCCGGGCTGGGAGCTGAGGAACGAGATCTCGAAGAGGGAGGGCCGGCTGGAGTAGACGTTGTGCAGCATGCTGATGAACCAGAACAGCAGGTCGTCCATGTTCTGGAGCGTGCACTGGGCGAACACGGCCCCCGCATCCCGCCCGTGCTGATGCGAGTCGAAGAGGGCCACGATGGAGGCCCGGAAGTCGAAGGTGACCATTACGGTTCGACTGTCAGCGATGATGGCGGCAAACAGGTGCGAGGGCTGCTCCCGGCCGCCCGCCTGCTGGAACACCTGCAACGTGATCTGAAAGATCCTCGACAGCTGGACGGCCACGTTCCTGTTGTACATCGGATTGGTGGGGTCGGCCTCCATGTGTGTGTAGAACCACTCCTCCAGCCGGAAGTTCATCTTGTGCTGCGACCGTATAGCCGCGATCGCATCCGGTATATTGAGGTTGAGGTTGCGAGCTTGGGGGGTATTCGCCGTGATCACGTTATGGTAGACGTTGTTACCATCGTTCATGGCGTTGCCGAAAAGCTCCCATCCGCGCATCGGCAGATCGGAGACCCGGTGGTAGAACCTCTCCGCCTTGGCCACCTTGTCGGCCAGTATCAGTGAGATGAGGGTGCACGAGTTGGTGCCGCTCTGCTGGAACTCACCGAACCGGGACTGGCAAAAGTCACGCGGAAACCACCAGATGTTCAGGTTGTCGATCTGCTCGTGAATGGCCATGGTGGTGGTGCCGGGATGGTTGGTCGGTTCGGCTGCGCCTGTGGATCGGCTGCTGCTGCTCCTGGGACTCCTCAAGACGTGGGTCGTCCTACGTCGCTGCAATCTTCGGCTGATCCTGCTGCTCCTGCGGCCCAGTGTTAAACCCGGCCCTGGCGCTGTCCCCAAAATGCAGATGTCACATAGTTTCCGTGTACTCGGCGGGGTCTTCGGCTTCAAGGTGAACGTAGATTTGGAATCCACGAGGGATTCCAGGGAGCGTCGGGACAGAAAAGGCAGCTGGGATCCGGATTCGGCCGCAGAAACAGAATCGGAAGCGGATGCGGGCGGACTTGCGGCAGCAGCGACTCCTCTACTCCAGTACACTCTAAGAACGGGAACTCGATTTCAAGCAAACATTGAATTTTGAGGGTCTTTTTGCCGGAGGAATGTTCAACGGGTTAAAGGTGAAATCTTTCGAATCGGTAAAACAAAAAATTTTAGACCAACAACTGACAAATAACGAACATGATGTGAGATCTGAGACCGACAGGAGTCTATCTGAAAACTGAAAACTCTGACACTTACCACTCTGACATTTTTTGAAAAGGGAGGGCGATTAAAAATCTGAATTAAGTTAGACCGCCTAAGATGTTTCAGAGGAAATCTATTATTCCAACAATTTTAAAAGCCACTTGGCAACAGCTTTTCAATTAATCACTTTAAAGCGCTGCCTCCCACATAATTCTCCTTACATAAGCCCCGTAAAGTAAATGGAAATTCCATGTCTAAATCACAAACATTTATTCATGGATGAGTAACTTGATAGAGTAATGGAGCTAAGCTTTCAGTTTGGTTTTTTGTTGTCTAATTTTGAATTCACACTCTGGACTCTAAGCTGATAATCTAAATTCTTGGAAAATGAAATTTTCATCAAAATGGCCTGAATCTATTACTAAATTTAAATGCCATTAGTTGGGCGAATTCGTGGAAAGGCGCTTCACAATTGTATCTAAATGCTGCGCAAATATTTAACAGTGGCGCCCAAAATTAGCCAGCCCGGCCAAGTAGTTCTAATTTTAAATTGCAACATTGGCAAAAATAAAAATAAAAACAAAATGTGGGGGAAAAATAGAAAACACCCAGAAAATAAACAACTGGCGAAAAGAAACAAAAATAAATTCAAGAAACAAATATGTGAAGTGTGTCGGAAATGCTAATTTATGGTGGCGTGAGTAGAGCATTTTTTCGATTTGTTGTTGATTGAGATTGGGGTTCTCGAAGATTGCCGCCGGTTCCCGGGTGTCGGGCCACATTAAATGCCAAAAAAGAGTGGAGTCTTTAAGACATCTTGTAGTATAGGTTATCTTAGAATTCCTGGAATTTGGGGGATTTTTTTGAAGCGGATGGTAAGAGTTATCTTAGGCTTGTTTTGAAACTCTTTAAAATTTTGGTTGACAGGAATGCGGATTTTGAGGTAATTGGTTTTGTTTTCTTTTCCAATTATTACTATCTTTTTCGAATACATCCTTTCGTGAATTTAAATCACTGATTTAAAAAAGTGCACATTAAGTGCAATATTATGAGTAAATCATGACAATGGACAATGTTTTTATGCTTTTCCGCCACAAGTCCCTTGTTTTTCTCTTCTTTTATTCTGTTAATTAAACTTATACGTGAGCCAGTTAACGGCAAGTCAAACAAGGACGAGCCAGGACTAACGACAGTCGGTCGGTCAGACTCTTTCGTAATCCAATCTGTTGGAATGCGCTTTCGCTGAAACACAAACAAGCTGGACGATATTATGAGATGGCCACCAGAGAATGGGTGGCTTGTATGGGAGGATGGCAGGATATAATGGCAAACAAATGCCAGGAACAAAATAATCAGTGATATCAAGTTAATACCTCAAACGAAATTGCATAATGGCAAAATCAACGCATGCATAATAAATAACACTGGGGTGGTGGCGGGAAAACTAAAGAGAGAGGTCTTGTTAGGCTAGTGATTTGTCCCAAATGGGTTTAAATTAACCCAAAAGACTTTAATTAAAGCTGTGGGGTTGGTGGGGTCACTGATACTTGAGAGAGCATCATTGGAACATTCGACATTTGCCTTGGGGGGCTCCACTTGCCGGGCATCCTATTACTGAGGCACTTCTAGCGCCATTTCAGTTCATATCCTTGCCAACTGGAACTCCCAGTAGTGCTCTTACTTATTTCACAAAAACAGGAAGAAATCAGTTAATGAAAGTGTATTAATCATAACTAAATAATGTAGATGTTGTTACAAATAATTTATTGGATTATTTTTTGTTTAATTATTCCATAAAAGCCATTGGCAAAAAAGAGTAATCTGATTGGCATATTTACACTAATAACTTGATTGCTTTAGGCCTGTGTTTTGATAATCAAATTATTGCAAAACAATTTGTAATTAAATTACATATATTAAATAGCCTTTTTTTACGCGTGTACTTGGTCAACATCTCTGACCCTCTTCCGGCTTCCCAGTTCATTCATCTGAAGCGTGCCAAGTGCCTGAAATGCGTTCTGGATGCCAGGATGCCGATGTTTTCTCTTTTCCATTTGTGTTTGCCTTTGTCAAACATGCACTTTTATTATGCAAAGGGGCTGCCCAGTGTCCTTGGCCATTTCAATGGCATTCGGGGCTAATTCTATGCTCTGGAAGCCGGACTCGACTAACTCTCTTCTGTCTTTTATTTCCCGTTGCAGTGTGAGAATCTGTTGCGACCCATAGGCGTCGCGCTGAACGGCCCCGGCCTAAGGGGCCATGACGCGTTGGCCCTTTAGTCTCTTACTCTTGCTGTCGGTGGCAGTTCGCGACTGTAGCAATCACCCCACCGTCCTCACCGTCGGCTACCTGACGGCCCTCACTGGCGACCTCAGCATGCGCCAGGGATTGGCCATATCCGGTGCGCTGACTATGGCCCTGGATGAGGTAAGTACCACTTTCTTCATATAAATCTTTGCCAGACAATGTAGCAGTTAATATGTCAACTAGTTGCAATTAATAGCCTAGTTTCCAAGACTAGTTGTAGATTTAACCACCACACACATGTCGTATACGCAATTTTTTGTAACTTTAGGTGATTTGTGAGGTGTTGATGGAAAAAAGTTAAAGGTGCAAAGTAAGAATTCCTCTAAAAACATTTTCCGGATTCTTGACAGGTCAACAAAGATCCCAATCTGTTGCCAAATGTTACCCTGCAGCTGCGCTGGAATGACACCAAGGGCGAAACGGTACTGGCCACCAAAGCCATCACCGAGATGATTTGCGATGGCGTCGCCACCATTTTCGGACCGGAAGGACCCTGCTATGTGGAGGCCATAGTCTCCCAGAGCCGCAACATTCCAATGATATCCTATGTACGTACGACTACGTAGTATTCGAGGCATCTGATTTATGACACCTCTCCCACTGCCGCCCACAAAATGCACGGCAGCAGCCAATTTTACGCCTCGTATTTTCATGTGACTTTAAATTTCTTATTTTTTTGCTCCTTTGATAGAAATGTGCAGAGTACCGTGCATCCGCCATACCGACATTCGCCCGGACGGAGCCTCCCGACACGCAGGTGAGTTCAAATAGAGCAACAGGTGGGTGGGTCTACTTGGGCTGACAGGTGGATGGGTGGCTAGGTGGATGGGCGGAGCATTCCCACATAGGTGCGGCCAAGGGATTTGAGAGCTTTGCGTGGCCATTCCCTCGTTGGCGTTGTCGCTCCATAGGGACAGCTATTTAGCCTTGGATTATCCTCCAACCGATACAACGGCAAACACAGGATGAAGTTGGCAGGAGCAAGCAGGACTTATGCTCGTAAAGACAAAACAAGAGTCAGTGGCTTAAAGGAGTAACTTTAAAAAGGGAATAGAATATGCACCATTTCATTATAGTAGGAACTTTCAGCATTAAAATAGTCTTAAATATGAAAGTGTGCTATTTCGGGAGTTGTTCGAGTTCTTTGGAAAGTTTTTCTTGCTAAATCCTTTGGATGTTTTACTTATTTTCCAGGTTGTCAAGTCTTTGCTGGCACTTTTGCGCTATTATGCCTGGAACAAGTTCTCCATTCTCTACGAGGATGTGTGGGGACCGGTGGCAGATCTGCTCAAGGACCAAGCCACCGAAAGGAACATGACCGTCAACCACCAACTGTCCTTTATCGATAATCGCGCCAAGTGCTGTGAGAAGATGCTGAGCTGCTGTCGATCAGGATACTGGTATCAGGTGGGTTATTTTTATTATTATGTTTTATATATAATATAATACTATTAAACTCTGTCTGTAGTTGGTACAAAACACTATGAATCGCACTCGTATCTACGTCTTTCTGGGGGCAGCTAATAGTCTGGTTGACTTTATGAGTTCCATGGAGACGGCTGGCCTATTCGCTCGTGGAGAGTACATGGTGATTTTTGTGGACATGATGGTCTATTCCGAGAGGTAATATCAACATATTTATTTAATTGAAGGGATAACTTATATAGTTTGGTAAATTTACTTCTCAGAGAGGCAGAAAAGTATTTGCGGAAAGTGGATCAAATCGATGTCATGGCCCATTGCCACAGCACGGAAAAGTTCAACCAACTGGCTCGAAGCTTGCTCGTTGTGGCATCCACTCCGCCCACCAAAGGATATGAACAGTTCACGGACCAAGTGCAGAATTATAGTGCCAAGCCGCCCTTTAATTTCAATATTCCGGAGCTTTTTGTGAAAAATAAACTGAGCAAGGTAAGAGCTTGCAGGATACTTTTATTTTTTAGATTTTAATATTTTTTTGTTAGTTTGTTTCGATCTATGCCGCTTATTTGTACGATTCCGTGAAGCTATATGCCTGGGCAGTGGACAAGTTGTTGCGCCAGGAGACGCGTGTCCTCACAGATGATGTTATCTTCGAAGTCGCCAGCAATGGAACTCGGGTCATCGACACCATCATCAAAAATCGTACTTATATGAGTGAGTTATTAAAGCTTTCCAACTAAAATATAAATAATATTCAATTAAACTCTCGAAAGGTGTCACTGGAGCCACGATTAAGATCGATCAGTATGGCGACTCGGAGGGTAACTTCTCAGTTCTGGCCTACAAGCCCCACAAGTGGAACAACTCCAACAACATCCAGTGCAACTACCACATGGTTCCCGTGGCTTACTTCCACCAAGGCGACAATCTTCCAGTGAGTGAGTCGTCTTCTCTTTTTTAGTTTGCCTTTTCTTTTAGTCGGTTTCCGCTTATATTGCTGGCCCCGAACAAAGTCGGTCTTAACTCATTGGATTTTTGGGGAAATCTCTTTTATTTTTTGGCCCAAACAGGAGTACAAGCTGATCAATGGCTCCATAGACTGGCCCTCGGGCGGCGAGAAGCCCACGGATGAGCCGATGTGCGGGTTTGCCAACGAGCTTTGCAAAAAGGACGACACCCACTACACCTCCACGGTGGCAGCCGTCGTTTTGGGTGTCCTGCTCTTCTGCTCCGGAGTGATAACCATGAGCATCTATCGAAAGTGGAAGATAGAGCTGGAAATCGAGGGCTTGCTCTGGAAGATTGACTCGAACGAGATCAAGGGGTACACGGGTAACGATATAGTCTCCTCCCCCAGCAAGGTAAGTTGAAGGAGAACCTTTTTCTTTATAATCACAACTAAACTATTTATTTGTGACCCTTCAGGTCAGTTTGATGAGTGCCCAGAGCTATGGCTCCCGCTGGACCAACCAGTTTGTGACCTCCACCGGTCAGCTGCGTGGCGCTGTTGTCCGGATTAAGGAGCTCAAGTTCCCAAGGAAGCGGGACATCTCCCGGGAAATCATGAAGGAAATGCGTTTATTGCGCGAACTGCGCCACGATAATATCAACAGCTTCATTGGCGCCTGCGTGGAGCCCACTCGCGTCCTGCTAGTCACCGATTTTTGCGCCAAAGGCAGTCTGTATGACATCATCGAGAACGAGGACATCAAGCTGGATGATTTGTTCATTGCCTCCCTCATCCATGACCTCATCAAGGTGAGTTTTTGGGTTGATTATCCTCTTAGGATACTATATATTGACCTTCTATATCCAACAGGGCATGATCTATATCCACAACTCCCAACTGATCTATCATGGCAACCTTAAATCCTCGAATTGTGTGGTCACCTCGCGCTGGATGCTCCAAGTCACCGATTTTGGACTCCACGAGCTGCGGCAGTGTGCCGAAAACGAGTCCATCGGAGAGCATCAGCATTACAGAAGTACGACCCTTTGCTGTCTATTTTTAAGCAAAACTAATCCCTCCTTTCGAATCTCCAGATCAGCTGTGGCGTGCTCCGGAACTGCTCCGAAACCACATCCATGGCAGCCAAAAGGGTGATGTCTATGCATTTGCCATCATCATGTACGAGATATTTAGTCGTAAGGGTCCGTTCGGACAAACCAACTTTGAACCAAAGCAGATTGTGGACTTTGTTATGAGAGTGCCCATTGAGGGCGAGGATCCGTTCCGGCCGGAGGTGGAGTCCATCATTGAGGCTGAGTCCTGTCCGGATTACGTGCTGGCCTGCATCAAGGACTGCTGGGCCGAAGAGCCAGAGGAGCGGCCCGACTTTAGTGCCATACGGTAATTAGTTTACTCTTAAAAATAAATTTAAAAAATATTAAAAATATTATTTTTTATTTTTAGCAATCGTTTGAAGAAAATGCGCGGAGGTAAAACCAAAAACATCATGGACCAAATGATGGAGATGATGGAGAAGTATGCCAACAACTTGGAGGACATCGTTAGCGAGCGAACACGCCTCCTGTGCGAGGAGAAGCTGAAGACGGAGGACCTGCTCCACCGCATGCTGCCCCAGTCGGTGGCCGAGAAACTGACCATGGGCCAGGGTGTGGAGCCGGTGTCTTATGATTTGGTAAGACTTTTACCTCATAACATACCTTTCATATAATTAAAGGATGTTTTTTTCATTTGCAGGTCACTATATATTTTAGCGACATTGTTGGGTTCACCGCCATGTCGGCGGAGAGCACACCACTGCAAGTGGTTAACTTTTTGAATGATCTCTACACAGTGTTCGATCGCATCATACGCGGCTATGATGTGTACAAGGTGGAGACCATAGGCGATGCCTACATGGTGGTAAGTAGTCCCGGCTATTTTTCCCTAACCTAAAGCTAATAATGTACCCTTTTCAAAGGTCTCGGGTCTGCCCATCAAGAATGGGGATCGTCATGCCGGCGAGATCGCCTCGATGGCCCTGGAGCTGCTGCAGGCGGTGAAGCAGCACCGTATAGCCCACCGGCCCAAGGAGACGCTGAAGCTACGGATCGGAATGCACACGGGCCCTGTGGTGGCCGGAGTCGTGGGCCTGACGATGCCCAGGTACTGCCTCTTCGGAGACACCGTAAACACGGCGTCCCGCATGGAGAGCAATGGCGAGGCCCTGAAGATCCACATCTCCAACAAATGCAAGCTGGCGCTGGACAAGCTGGGCGGCGGCTACATCACGGAGAAACGTGGTCTGGTCAACATGAAGGGCAAGGGCGAGGTGATCACCTGGTGGCTGACCGGAGCCAATGAGAATGCGATACAGAAGAAGCCGGTGGACATGATGGACATGCCGCCGCCTCTGTTCAGTCGACCCCGGAAGAGTCCCAAGCTGAATCCCGATTCCCGGCAGCCGAGCATCCAGGCCATGCACTTTTGTGGCACCGGATCTCGCCGCCAGAGCAGTGTACCCCGCCCTGCGGACGTGGAGTCGACGTACAGTCTCCAGGGATCCGTGCGAGACTCCCCGCGCATGATCAACAAACGGGACAGAGACCGGGATCGGGAACGGGAACGACCATCCATCAATGGACACTTTGTGGGCGGAGCACTCCTCGAATCCGCGCAGGCCTCGCTCAGCACGCTGAATCATTCCGAAACAAACGAAACGAACTGTGATATGGACGGAGGAGTGGGATCAGGATCGGGTTCTGGATCTGGACTAGTTCGCCAGCCGAATGCATTGCACAAGCCGTTGGCAATGGTGCGTCCGCACCGAATCATCAGCGCCGCCCAGCTGCCACAGCTGGGGGATCAGGAGGACGACTCGGCGGCGGAGATGCTGCTGCGGGAGTCCCGCTCCCTGGATCCCATGCCTCTGCAACACCTGCGCAAGCGTCACGAGAGGGGCAAGCTGCCGCCCTCGAAGCTCTCCAAGAACAATTCGCGATCGTTGGACACCGGCGTGTCGCTGATCAGCGGCAATCCCAACGGGGATGTGGGCTCCAGTCAGCTGGAGCTGGACGACGATATGTCCGCCAATCCGGTGGACGCCACCGATGGCTATGACGATGAGCTGGGTCTCCTCATGCGCCGAGACAACGGCCAGCCGCCCACGCTTCGCTATTCGGGCAGTTTCCCCAACGCCCAGATTAGCATTATTCCAGCGGGAGCTGGTGGCGGCAGGAACTGTGGCAAGCACCTGAACAACAACTGCAACGGCGGCATGAACATCGAAGACGACCTGGAATCGCCCCTGCTGCAGCGACAGGCCTCCCTCTCTGTTCCGCCCGAGGAGATGATGGCGCACAATAAGCGCTGGCACTCCCTGGAGCACATGGACGGTCCCGGCGGCCATGGCGGTAACAGTGTGAGCTATGCGGCCGACATCGACAACCGGCAGCCCGGGAACCTGGACTTCCTGGGCGGCGGAACCTCCCACCAGCAGAGATCCCGGGCGGCGGCGGGCGGAGGCAGCAAGCTGACCAACTGGATGTCCAACTTTTTCAAGGGCAACGGCGTGCGCAGCGGCGAGGCTAGGCGAGTGGGTATCCTGCCCAGCGGAGTCCAGGGAGCTCGAACAGGATTCACGGACATGACGGCGGCATCAGCGGCCCGAGATCGCGAGAGTATAGTGTAGAGATTGTAGGGAAATCAAGGAGAAGGAGGATGATTAGCAGAGTAGAATCTAAGGATCAGGAGCAGGATGAGCTGGTGGAGCTTGTTGAGCTTGGTTGAGAGGTGGAAAAGTTACTCAGGAACCGTGTCGAGCAGGAAACGATCGTCTTTTGGCTTATTTCTTTGTTTTATGTATTGTAGTTTATATCGATCGAAACGATTTGTGTGTCTGTGCTGGAAGTCCTCCATTTATATACCTAACGAAGCCTGTTCAGAAAATGAATAATATATATATTTAATCCTTTTGGAGTCAAAGGACTTGTTCTCTAAATGTCTATCTGTACGAAATTCCAATTGCAATCCTGTGGTTCTAGGGCAGGATAATGATGAGCAGAATACATAGAATATATTTGATAACTCTACATACATACATATTAGAGAAGCCGAAAAAAACCGTCTAGTCACAAGGTCTTCAGACTAGTTATTGTTTTATATAAAATATATACACCACACACACACACACACATCTAAATGTACGTTTGTAAATGTAACACATACACATACACACAACCACACACATATTTATACGAGGATGTTAGAATCAAAAACAAATATTTTATGTAAATCTAATTAAAACAAAACCATTTTATGCTTTCTATACACGATGTGCTGCTGCAAACAAATTATGCTTAAAACGAAAACTAGTTAATTTATATATTTGTGAAAGAAAGAAAAAACAAAACAGAAAATGAGCGGAAAATTTTTATGTATCAATGTGTTTTTCTAGTATGTAATTAAGTGCGTGTGATTGTACGTAATGTTTAAGTCCCTACAACTAAAAACATACTTTTAATTAATTAATTATGAACGAGAATTGTGAGCAGAGAAGTGAAAAGCGAGAGAAGCGCCCGATGCGTGGTGTTTTAGCTGTATGTATGTATGTATATTTTTAAAAGAAACTTTGTTAAATTTGCCATATATAAATACAAACAAGAAACTATCCAAAATACCCTTGTCAATTGAGTTTTTAATTAACTAGAGTGATTGATTTCATTCTGAAAACTTTCCAGTTTTATGGTATTCATTAATCAAGCATTTCAAATTGGCGCGCTCTTGTGCAACTTATCTGTTATCGATTTCATGTGTTGCAAAACGCAGACGCCTTATCAGCTATCGATTTGTAATCAGCTGTTGTCAGCCCTGGTCGCAATAACAAAGCAATTTCTTCGCGTTTTTTGGTCACCAATTTAATTTTCATTTAGCTAGCTAGAGTCGCGACCGATAGTGCATTTTTATTTTGTTCCCTTCACCCGTTTGCTTGTTGCCCCTGTGTAGATTTTCTTTTGCATGTTTCGCGGGACAGGGCAAAAGATAGTTTGCACGGAGAACAACCAAGCAAGACTTCCCGACCTTCGCGACGAAAGGGGAGCTCATTGAAATGCAGAACTACGGCTCCGGAGCAGCAGCGGCGGCATCGCCACCACCAGCCGCGGCTCCGGCCGTCAAACGCCGTACGGACAGCTACGAAGCTGCCCAGCACCATCCACAGTCACCACCAGAGAGCGGAGAGGATGATTATGTGAACACCAGGATCTTGCGACGACAGGCTCAGCTGCAGTCGACTCCGGTGGTGCCAGTGGTGCCCCTGCAAACCGCCCAATCCGTCGAAGGTCATGTGGAGCATCCAGAGTTTCCCGGATCGTCTGCCACCTCGTACCAGGAGGAGCGAATGCGAAGGAAACTGCAGTTCTTCTTCATGAATCCCATCGAGAAATGGCAGGCGAAGCGAAAGTTTCCCTACAAGTTTGTCGTCCAGGTTAGTAAACCTATATATTAATGGATTTTTTATATTTTAGGCGGGATTTCTCAATTCATTGTTTACTTTTCCACTCAATTAAGTATCGGGTGTGGGAAAACCTACCCACTGCTTTATCGCAAACTTTCCTACAATGTACGCACATATGTTATTTAATTGGGAAGATGCGGATATTATTTAGCATCTGTCCGACGCGACAGTTAATTGGCTTCGCGTCGCGGGATTCTGTCACTGAGGAGAGTGGGGAATCAGGGGCGGACACTGCGGATGACACATCCCTTCGCTGGTTAAACACTTGTTTCCACATACGCTTTTATTCAACCTGTGCCAAGCTCAGAGATAAGAAAGTGCTTAGTTGCTTTAACATAATATTGTATTATTTGGAAGTGACTTAAGACTACTATTACTTTCAAAAGACCTTTAAATGCTTTGCAATTGTATTGTATCTTAACAAATGGCTCTATTGTTACATTTTTTTGAAGGTACTCCTCGAGTACATTGTCACCTTTGTCGAATGAAATGGTGTTCTACCTGGTACCATTTCAATTGTTTGCTTAGTTGTTTAGCGTGTAAAGAAAAGCAAGACCGTTCCACTTGAAAAATAGTCAAAACTTTTGATTATTTTGCTTGCAATGGTTAAGCCTCCGATTCTTATCTAGACCTGGAAACATGCTTATCTATAAGGTCTACCTAAACTTAGCCATACTACGTAATTTACTGGAGGAAATTTCATTATTTTATGGCCAGACTCGGCGTGTACGCGCCCTCGTACATTTTTAAAAGTTATTCAACTATGCGATAAATGCAGAGGGGGTTTTTTGAATGATTAATTAAGAATAGTGGGGCTGTTAAGTAAATAAAATTGAACAAAACGTTCTACTAGGCATTACAGAAAGAAAGTTGTGGAAAGGAAATGATAGGCAATAAATAAAATCTGACGCACGATGCCCTGGTAATATATTTATTTATAGATAACATTTTTGGATCAGTGTGCCTCCTACCTGGGAGGTGATTCAGAGAAACTGGGAAGAGATAAGAAGTATCACCATTGCTAGCTATTAACAATGTCTAAGGGGAATAATAGGATTCTTATCTCTACTATCTATTTGAATAAATATTGCTGGTGGTCCAATTTGGGGGAGTGTTGCAATTTTAAAGTCACATGTTCAAAATTAGGAAATATGTATAATAATATATAATAACTTTTACCCTTTTATTTAACTTACAGATTGTGAAAATCTTTCTGGTGACGATGCAACTGTGCCTTTTTGCCCACTCGCGGTATAACCATATTAACTACACGGGTGATAACCGCTTTGCCTTCTCGCACTTGTTCCTCCGCAACTGGGACTCCTCGAGGGAGGTGGAGAGCTATCCGCCGGCAGTCGGTCCCTTTGCCCTCTATCTCAAATCGGAATTCTTCGACACCGTTCAGTACGCTGTAAACGGTTATGCGAACGTAAGCCGATCGATCGGCCCTTATGACTACCCCACCCCGAATAATACTATGCCGCCGCTGAAGCTCTGCCTGCAGAACTACCGCGAGGGCACCATATTCGGATTCAATGAGTCCTACATCTTCGATCCCCACATCGATGAGGTGTGCGAGGCTCTGCCCCCGAATGTGACCACCATCGGGGTGGAAAATTATCTCCGACAGCGCGGTGTGGAGGTTAACTTTGCATCGCTCGTCTCTGCGCAGCTAACATTTAAAATCAAGACCGTGAACTTCAAGGCCAATGGTGGGCCTCTATCCGCTCCAGATTGTTTCAGATTTGACATCTCCATTCTGTTCAACAATCGGGATCATGACGGACAAATGCTATTATCCCTGGACGCTGAAGCCACGCGATTGAAGTGTCACGGAGCCACGGACTTCATTTCGGAGGCTAATTTCGATGCCATGCTGCGAAGTGTACTCAACATCTTTGTCCTGTTAACCTGCGCCCTGTCCTTTGCACTCTGCACCCGTGCCCTGTGGAGAGCTTACTTGCTGAGATGCACGACAGTGAACTTTTTCCGGAATCACTTTGGCAAGGAGCTCAGTTTTGACGGGCGATTGGAGTTTGTTAATTTTTGGTGAGTTTTGAACCCGTTGGTGCTTAGTTAGTAGTACAAATTACTAACTACCAAAGTTCAAAGCCAGTTTAGATTGTGGAATGTTGTTGAAAAAGTTTACTAAGTATTGATACTTTCAGGTACATCATGATCATTTTTAATGACATACTGCTGATTATTGGATCCGCCCTCAAGGAGCAAATCGAGGGCAGGTACATGGTGGTAGACCAATGGGACACATGCTCTCTTTTCCTTGGCATCGGTAATCTTCTGGTGTGGTTTGGAGTTCTTCGATATCTGGGATTCTTCAAAACCTACAACGTGGTTATACTGACCCTGAAGAAGGCGGCACCAAAGATTCTACGATTCCTCATAGCTGCCCTGCTGATCTACGCAGGATTCGTTTTCTGCGGCTGGCTGATCCTTGGACCCTACCACATGAAGTTCCGCTCCCTGGCCACCACATCGGAGTGTCTGTTTGCCCTGATCAACGGTGACGATATGTTCGCCACCTTCGCCACTTTGTCGAGCAAGGCTACGTGGCTGTGGTGGTTCTGCCAGATCTACTTGTACTCGTTCATATCGCTGTACATCTATGTGGTTCTGTCGCTCTTCATTGCTGTAATCATGGATGCCTACGATACGATCAAAGCATACTACAAGGACGGCTTCCCAACCACTGATCTCAAGGCATTTGTGGGCACACGCACCGCAGAGGACATTAGCTCCGGCGTGTTTATGAACGACCTGGACGACTTTGATCAGACAAACTTCGTGGACGTGGTGAAGAGTCTCTGTTGCTGTGGACGCTGCCGGCGTGACCAGGAGCCTCCACAGGCCACCAGCGGCTATACCAGCCTGTCAAGTATTATGAAGTAACTGGGTGCGCCATTTAGATAGTCACAGGTCTTCTATTTGTTTTGTTTTGTCAGCTTTACGTGTGTAGTCGAACTTATTGTTAGCTTTTTGTATTAATTTTTGTTTTGTTTGCCAAAGCACTTGAACCGAGATAAGCGTAATCGAAATGTATGTACGTATCTACGATAATTTCTAAGCGCAGCCCCTCCGGTCACACATATTGCGAAGGTACTGATTTATTAACTAGTGCTTTCGCAGTTTTGTGGGTCATTTACAATATAATTTTCTTTTAATTAAGTAACCAAAGTTAAATAGTTTTCCCCAAACGTAATGAAAACCCTTGAAATTCCATGAAACTAAAAATAATTGCATACTAGGCAAACAATGCTGTGCTTTTACCACAAAACCACAACTTGCATTTGCGACTAATGATATTCAGTGTGTGATATAATTTGAAAACGGAATCAGAGAACAATACAGATTTACAAGTGATGGGAGCCATTTTCTGCCAATGGCAGCCACATGGATTTGATCAAGATCTTCCATGAGAACAAATGCATCCGAAACGAGTTTACGTACAAATATCAGAATACGAGTCACACAGAGAAATTTGTATAACAAAATACAAAAAGCCTTAGTTAAGTATAAATTAGGTAACTTTATTTTATGTTTACAATGGAAAAATTGTATAAATAACCAAAAAATTGAAAACCCAATAAAATGTTTGTAGAAAGTGAAATTCAAACGTAAAACTTTTTAATCGTATTCTTTATTGAATTTATTAAATAAAAAAGTATAAATACTATTATAATAATTTAGTATAGATATATGTATAGGATTTTATTATATTTAAATTTTATTTTGATGCAGATAGATAGACGATCGATATACAAATCATTTAAGGTCTGAAATAATTGCATAATTCCTCTGAATAATCGGATTTCTTTTGGCAGGGATATAGCATTCCAGGGCCAATACTTCACTACCACGCATTTTTCACAATTCTTGAATGGAAATCCTCTAGAAAATTTGACGAATAATCAAAAAGAAAGTTGTTGGTAGATTTTGATGTAGATATAGGATCAATATAGGATCATAGGATCACAATGATATAAGATCAATGTAAAAATATTTTAAGGTATTCCTTTTAAGGACCAGATGAGTTTTGGCAGAGATAAAGCATTATTAGGTTCCCATTTTTTAAAAGAACTCCCCAGAAAATTTGCCAAAATCATAAAAAAAATTGGTTGGTAGATTTTGGTAAAAATTAATGAAGAATCCAGCAAATCGTTTAATATAATTTTCTTAAGAATTAGAAGAATTTCGGCAAAGATATATGAACCCCTACCAGAGACTAACATTGCAATCCCATTTAATCCCATATATTCACAATTTTTGAAGGAAACATATTTTTATGAAAGTATCTTCTGAAAGGGTATTCAAAATGCCAGCAAATGTTTGCAATTGGGAATGTGTTTGCCATATAAATTTGTTGCTATTGTTACTAATTCGTAGATAACACCTCCAGTGGTTATCTTGCAAAAACAGTGTAGCTTTTATTGGTTTGTTGTTATGTGTGCTACCCATACATAGGCGTTAGTTAGGAAAGCTTATTCTTTTGTTTCATTCAATAAACAAATTTATTTAAAATTATATTAAGTTATTTTCCTCCTAATATGTATGTTTCTGGGGCCAAGAAAAGTACAATTATTATGTTTATTTGTCATTATCTTTTCTCATTATCAAGCCTCCATGATAAGGATTTATTGTAGCTGTACAACATGATTGGGGTTCATTTTTAGTTTAAACCTAAGAAAGAGCAGACGTATTTTGGTGTGAGTCTTAAAACGTTCAAAGTTCAAAGTTCAGGATGACCACAAACACCAAGGATGGCATAACCATACGCCCCATGACAGAGGATGACCTGGACACGGTGTCTGATTATGTGATTAATAACTTTATGGTGGATGAACCTATTAGTGGCACTGTTGACTGGACCAAATACCCAAAGGTGAAAGAAGTGATGAAAGAAAAGCATAGAGCTATGATATTGCAGGGACTGTGTCTGACAGCTATCGATGATAGTAAGAACGGAGAAATTGTGGGCTTCTGCTTGGCGGCTGCCCAGAACAAAGAAGATTTGGATTCGAATATTGTCATGATTGAAAGAGCCCCTCCAGAAGTGGCTGCCGTTTTGAAATTGGGTGATTACATGCAAAGGAAAGCTAACATATTGGAACTATACGGTGTTGATAAGGTTCTATACTCTCATATCACTTTCGTGAAATCTGAAATGAGGGGGAAACAGATAGGAACCCGCTTGGCCCAAACTTTGATAGAACTTGGCCGTTCCCAGGGCTTTAAGGTGATGACCGCCATGTGTTCGAGCTTCTTCTCTGGAAACCAGAAGGAGGCCCTTGGAATGAAGATAGTTTTCCAACAACCCTATGCGGCATACAAGGATGACGAGGGAAAAGTGATCTTTTCTCCACCTGCCCCACACACAAGGGCTCGAATGTTGGCCATGGAACTGTGATTTTAGAAAAGTGCTTGTTTCTATCAGGAAAGTTTCATTTGTTTTATAAAAATAAACTCTTTGTGGAGCTCATTAAAACTGGAAGATATATGTATTTTTAATACTCAAGCAAGAAATTGTAAACAAGAATGCAATAAATTGTTTGAATAAATTTTTGTTGCATACTTTTTTGGATTTTTATTAAAGCCATGAAGAAAGTAGTACCACTAAGACCTAGTACCATTTCTCATAATTACAGAAATTATGTATCTATTAGGCTTCAATTAATAATCACATTTTAGGCGTTTTTATAAGTAATTTTTAAAAGTGTTAAGTATAAAAGGAAAAACCCCATTAAATTCCAATTGTAATTCCAGATACAGAAGGTCATAAATACTGATTTAAAAAACAAAGTAGTTTATCAACTTGCTGGTGGGTTATTTTTGAGGTTTTTAGTTGGAAACTCATTGAAGATTTATCAAGAATTCGCCAAAAACGAGATGATCACAATATGAAAAGAAAAACTGGTTCTTCCATTGACGTAAATTTCATCGGCTTAGGAGGTGCGATGCGTATGCGTTGAAGCGGAAACTGTTCGAGCCAAAAAAATGTATTTTACTTAATCTTAATTGGAAATTCAAGCCCCCCAGAGCCCCGAGAGCCCCGATGAGCTAGCCTTACTCCTCTATGCAAATGTCAAGAGTGGCAAAAATAGACAATGACAATTCAAAAAGGTCTCTCGTCGAACGGCAAAACACTTTGGCACACTTTAAAGTCGGAGCCACCAGCCAGTTTAAAAAAAAGTAAAGGAGAAACCAAAAAAATCGTTCAAGTTGGCGGCAGTTCGTCACGCCTTAAGACGCCTCTCTGTCAGTTCAGTTAGCAGTCATCGGGCCACGATGTATCACACTGTGGGCCATAAATGGCTTTAATTTGACTTTAAAACGATCAAGGTCGTGGCGAGATGAAAAAAATTAAAGATTTTAAATTGGAACGATCAGACGTCGGAGAGGCGCTACTTAGCCATAAAAATGAAATAAAGTTTGAAAGATTTATCTTTCTTTTTTAAGGTTTTTGGGCTTGTTTCAGTAAAAGATAGTCTAAGACTGCGAAACATGAATTATACCTTAACTTTAGCTCAACTGAAAATTTTAGACTTTAAATAGTTAAGTAGTTAAAAATAAACATTTATCTAGCTACTAATGTATAGTTTTATTTAAAATTACAAAGGTAGTATTATCATACTAACTATTGCCAAAGCGTACCTGCACATCAATCATACGCACCGTTGCCTTTTACCGCCAAACTCTGAAGATTCTCAAATAAAGAGGAGGCTACAAACATGAGCAAAATGCGCAAATGTGCGGGTATTAAAATTAATCTTTTTTTTATGCCTTGGTGACTTAGTGTGGGCACTCCCAGACAAAGTGTTAGACTGACACACATCCGAGAGCAGAGGGCTGGGCTGGGCCTGGGATGTGGGTGCCGTCTAGAGACGGAGCAGACCTTCTGGAATCTGCCAGCAGAGCCAAGATGGTTGCACCGCTAGCTATGGCCAAGAATGCCATTTGCATAATGGCCAAGTCAGCAGCCAACTGCGCTCCCTCCAATTTCCCACTTGCAATCCACACAGACTGCCTTTTTGGTTTGTTTGGGGCGTCTGTCTACTCACCTCGGAGTGTGAGTCCGTTTTGCATATAAAAGAGTGCTCGCATACGTGCCGCACTTCTCTCTTCTTTTTGGCCACGAACCGAACGTCACGATTCGAGCCAAAACCCCAAAAGCCAAAGACCAGAGACTTGTGCAACACACACACACTCACACAGAAGTGAGACGATCAAAAGCCGGGCTTGGCAGTAAAGCTTTCGTGTGGATCGCATCTGGGATTACCCCTATTTGAGCCATCCGACATCCGACATCGGCGCTGAAGGAAAGCTCGGCCCAAACCCACCACAGAGGAACGCCGTGTAATAAAAGAAGCAAATCGGACTTCGTCTGGGGCTTTGGTGTCAGAGAGGGGTTCGAGAAATTGTGCGCGGCATCGTAGCAAACAGTGTAAATGGAGCTTTGATAGCGATCGGAAGGACAAAACTTGCTCTCCGTCGTCCAACTCCAAACAAGTGTTTTTAATTAAGTGTTTGATTTTGACTCTTTATCGAAAAAAAAGGAATCACATCGAATATTTAGATTCGAAAATAAAATAGAGAAACTGTGAAGATATCTTGAGATGGCAAAACTGTTTGTGGTTTTTGCCTTTTTGGCTTTGGCGGCCATTAACGAAGGTAAGGTCTCTTCTCTACCACTATCCATTGAAACACACACATATTTTATACCCCTCCTAGTCATAAGTTTTAATTATTGAACTGCAATTTGCATTCCGCTGGCGGAAGTTGTCAAGACATCAATTAAAACTGCTCGACTGACTCGGCCTTCAGACAAAATAAAAAAAAAAGATTCAAAAAACCATACAAGGTAACTCTGAAGAAAATAAGATAAAAAAGACAAAGAGGAAAATCGAGAAAAAAAAAATGAAATTGAAAAGCTACGATGGCAGATGTGAATGCGTTAACCTTGATTATGCAAAAAAAAAAAAGGACGATCCGGAGCGCAATCACAATCGCCCGGACAGCTGCAACTAGTTTAGTGAAACAACTTTCATTTTTTAGTAGTTGGCTTTAAGGGAGAACGCGTAGCACCTTGAGCGCCCAGTAGGTTGACATTTGAGCGCACCGTGAATGCAGTTCTCTGGCCAGACACAGATACCACTTGACTTTGACAGGCCATCGATCATGATTAAGCCAAAACATAAATACTGGCTTGTTGTGTTGTGGTCTTGGCTGTCAATTAACAGTTATGCAAATGCGGCAACTCCCTCGGCATCCAAACCGAAATGGAAATCGAAATTGAAATCGAATTCAGACAGACAGCTACGTGGACATCGATGTTAGATTATCTTATTTCTTGTTACCAACTGCCTTGTTACCAACGGCCTGGCGAGATGCAAAATGTCAAAGTTATAGCGCAGCCGCAACGAGTTTTTTTTTTATTTTGGCAACCGACATTATAACATATGTATATGAATTTTTGTGTATTTCTGCGGTACTCGGTCGGTTCTCTCTGGTGACATCGTATTTCATAATGCCAAACGTGTTTTTTTCGGCCAACACTCCAGCAACCAGCCCGACCGCATGCCAGCGCCATCGATTTCTATATAGGTGTAGTCTCTCGATATACAAATATACTATATCTACCGCCATGCCAGAAATATATATACCGATATAGTCGCAGAGCTATCTGTGTTTTTGTAACAGGAAGTACCAGCCATGGCGACATGGACCCAACCCACATTCGCCATAGAAATTCTTCCGGTTTAGCAACTTTGCACCAACCGCCAAACCAACTTGCAACAATTTCGCTAAAGCAATTTTCCCCATTCCTTTCCGTTTTTTTACTTGCAGCCACTGCCAGCGACAGCGATCCGCTGCTGAGATTCAGAAGACAGGCCACCACCGAGGAGGCCAAGAAGGAGGAGTCCTTCGAGAAGGAGCTCTGCAAGGACAAGGACGCCGGCGAGTGGTTCCGCCTGGTGGCCGGCGAGGGCGACAACTGCCGTGATGTGATCCAGTGTACCTCATCGGTGGGTTAAGCTTTAATTTTAAAACAAATTTTTGATTTATTTTTATAGAAAAGGGTACTAATTTTATTATTCTTTCACCTTAAATGTAATACTTTATTTTTTTTTAATATTATAGGGCCTGCAAGCCATTCGTTGTCCTGCCGGTCTGTACTTCGACATTGAGAAGCAGACTTGTGATTGGAAAGAGTCGGTGAAGAACTGCAAGTCCAAGAACAAGGAGCGTCGTGTGAAGCCTCTGCTCCACACGGACGAGCCTCTCTGCCAGGATGGATTCCTTGCCTGCGGTGATGGTAACTGCATTGAGCGAGGACTCTTCTGCAACGGCGACAAGGATTGTTCCGATGGTTCCGATGAAAACACCTGTGGTAAGTGGAGAAATTAATTTATTCAATTTTACATATACTGAGATTAAAGAAGTGTGGCTGTGAAGTTTTATAATTATCACTCTTAATTTATTGATATTAATTACGTAAAAGCGATCATGATCATGGGAGTGATGAATGCTATAAAGATTTTGCCAATTCATACCGCAACCCATATTCAAATCAATTTTTTTCAATAAAGTGTTTAAAGGCAATGATTTCTGCCATCCCAAGGATCAATCCATTTGGCATTACCACAAATAATTGATCAGAAATAGTGGGATTATGCGGCGAACCAAACATCAAACACCAAACACCAGGCACCAGACAAAAATAAACACATTGATCACTCTTTGAGGGTGTTGTGGAGCACTTTTTCTATTAAATTTGACATTTGACAACAATGATTCACAGTGATTCAGCACGAATTGGATTTTCGAGACTCTATAAACAAAGAGCCGCCAAATGTTGCATATAGGATTGGCTTTCCCAAAGCCTCGGGTCCAAGTGTTATTACTCCATCAGCTGAAACCTTAAGACTTTGAGTATCTTACAGTATGGTCTACAGTTAAAAAAATTACGCATTTATAATATATTTTATTCATTAAATAATTAGCAAGTTTATGATGGAAAGTGTATAAAATTTAAAACTCTCCTTATACACTTTTGTAGACTTAATTTTTAACCTTTAACTAAGCTTCATTTTATGGGTATCTTTTTTTTTGAGGGTATGCCCCAAAACCTCTGGCACTGTTTATCTTTTTGGCCAGGCGCCAAGTCAAATTTCTTTCAGTTATTCCAATCGCAGAGTCAGTCGCACCTTAAAACCGGTTGACGGCATTTAAAACATTACCTCAGTAATACTCCAAACTCCTCGAGTCTCGAAATGACTCTGACAACTCTCTGGCATACAAGTGTCTGTTTTGGTATAGAAGAGGGGGGGCTTGGGGATTCCAATTCCAATGACGCCTACGTGCAACGGTTTTGGAATCTAAAATCTTGTTGCACAGATCTCACAGGCCGACCGGTTTCGTAAAGCCCTTTCGTAGCACCCGCCGACTCAGATCGGAGGTCTCGAGTGGAAATCGTCTTTCGGGTGGAAATGTCAAGTGTGAAATGGAAACAAAATGTCAGACACAAAGACTTGTAGCCATAGCCCATACATAGCAACAAAATGCAGAAATAAAGCATGTATGAAAAAATAAAAATATTAAATCATTAATTAACAACATCGCAACAGCTAATAGGTAACCTTGGACTTAATAGAAATCAAATCGAAGCAAAACAAAACTCCCATGGAGAGGCAGAGCCCGTTCGATTCATGTGTAAATTAGCCTTACATAAGCGGCTTAAAAGACCGATTTGTTGTTATTGTATACATATATGGCTTTGTGTATTTTTAGCAATTGCAGAAAGCCGCAAAAAAAAAGAGTCAAAAGCAAAGGCACAATAAACACCATTATAAACAAGCTTCAAAATAATAACAACAAAAGATCCGAACAGCAGCCGGCTTATAAAGCGCAACTAATTTATAATAATACTAATAGCACAATGCACAAATATAGTAATAATTTACTGGATATTGCCCAAGAGGATAGTTGCCTTAACGAGCTGATTAAATGCCAAATAAATCAAGCCATCAAGACCTTTTCTGAGGCCTCGCTTCTGTTAGATTTGCGATTAGAGTTGCGATTGCCAATAGCACTCTTTAAATGCGAAGAATTTGCACTTCTGTGCAGCCAGTGGCGTCGCCGACTTTTCGAAATGCTCAGCCAAGCATTAATTTGTATATATAATTTATAAACAATTGAATAACAGCAACGGCCCAAGTTTAGTTCACTTCACCGCCTCAGGGCATAATAAGGAAGCTCACGTCTCCGGGAGCCCCAGAAACACTAAATAAATTGCAGGCAATTTAAAAGCACGATTAAATGGTCATACATCATAGTTTTTAACGCTAACGACAATGTAATGAGACTAAAGTGCTTAAAAAATAATAAATGGGTGAAAATAAAGGGGAATTATATGAGCAGGAGCTGTAAAAAATAGAGTCTTGTTTGCGAAATATAGGGAGCTATTTTTGAAGCTTTCTTGACTTGTTCAGGCAGTTGCCCAATAAATCTTATCAAGTGGTTAGCACTTATTGTTATTTTTAAATTGTTTGTTTTTGTTTTGATCAATTTCGCTTTTAAAGAACTGCCTAATTCGTTCTTAGAAAAACACATAAACATCTCTCAACGAAAACAAAATTCCCCGCCATTATTTAGTCATCACCTCCAGTCCACATCCTCTTAACTAATAATACTGCCACTCCATAAGCTTACATATCTCTTGGTATCTCAACCATTCCCCCAAAACGCCAATAATATCTGCAAAGATACAAAAAACTGGAGAAAATGAATAAAAGAAATAAAGGCAGAGCCCTCGAAAGTAAGGAAAAAAGAGTCAATAATGGCAGGGAATCCGGTGCCGGTGAGGAGTGAATACCGATTGCTGAACCGGTCCGGTATGACATAACACTTGGCTTTAGCGAAAGATTATTGGCAAATAATGGTGTGATGAGGGCGGGGGAGGGTAGAGGGTAGAGGAGGGAGAAAGGGTCCAGTGACAGGCGGAGACAACGCACAAAAAGGTCAATACAAAAGCCGGCTCTACACGACCTACAAAGAAAGAGTCGAAAAAATAAGTGTTTTGGCCTTTGCATGCCGCACGATGCCTGCCATTTCACTTTTGGCCAAAAAGCTCAAAAACCAAATGCCAAATGAGACACTGGCCGGCAATAATTACGGCGAATTTCTTTGAAAACTTTCGCAAGTAATTCAATTTGGCCGACAAGTGCAAGGCTTACCAATTGAGGCAAGGCCTGGCATCATTTGCATACGACTTGGCCGATAAACAAATGGCCAACACGTGGTATGGTGTGGCTAGCTAATAAGTGAACGCTCCCTGCATTTCAAAGCAGGCTTGTTTGTTTAACCATACTTGAAAATTGCTCAAAATCCAAAGCCAACACAATCATCAATTCATACGAATCAAAATAATAATAACGAATGAAAAATCGGTTCATAAAAACAAAACACAAAAAACACTGACTTGGAAACTGTGTAGACATTTTCCATTCACTTTGCGTTTCGGTTTTCCCACCTCTCTTGATTGCTTTTCCAGGCCGTATCGGTTCATTGAACCAACTTCCAAATAACCCCTTCCAATTCCCCTTCTTTTGGCCACAACAGAGTCCCCTCCCCCCAGTACAGTTGGCTAATTGTTTAAATATTTGGTTTTTTATGACAAGTTGAGTGAACTTTAAGCCGGCTTAGTCGTATGCCAACAGAATAGTAATTTATTAAAAATAAATAAACCTTCCAATTAATCTGGAAATTGCTTCAATGGCATATTATCCCTAAATACTTATTCCTAATCTTGAATCTTTTGTTTTCCTCCTCCTCAGATATCGACAACGATCCCAACCGCGCTCCACCCTGCGATCCCACCGTGTGCGTCCTGCCCGACTGCTTCTGCTCGGAGGATGGAACTGCCATTCCCGGGGATCTGCCCGCCAAGGATGTGCCCATGATGATCACCATCACCTTCGACGATGCCATCAACAACAACAACATCGAGCTGTACAAGGAGATGTTCAAGAACCGCAAGAACCCCAACGGCTGCGACATCAAGGCCACGTACTTCATCTCCCACAAGTACACCAACTACTCTGCCGTCCAAGAAACAGCCCGCAAGGGACACGAGATCGCCGTGCACTCCATCACCCACAACGATGACGAGCGCTTCTGGTCGAACGCCACCGTCGATGACTGGGCCAAGGAGATGGCCGGCATGAGGATCATTACTGAGAAGTACGCCAACATTACGGACAACTCCGTGGTGGGAGTGCGTGCCCCATACCTGCGTGTCGGTGGCAACAACCAGTTCACCATGATGGAGGAGCAGGCCTTCCTGTACGACTCCACCATCACGGCGCCCCTGTCCAACCCCCCACTATGGCCCTACACCATGTACTTCCGCATGCCCCACCGCTGCCACGGCAACCTGCAGAGCTGCCCCACCCGCTCCCACGCCGTCTGGGAGATGGTCATGAACGAGCTGGATCGTCGTGAGGATCCCGCCAACGACGAGTACCTGCCCGGCTGCGCCATGGTGGACTCCTGCTCGAACATCCTGACCGGCGATCAGTTCTACAACTTCCTGAACCACAACTTCGATCGGCACTACGATCAGAACCGCGCTCCCCTGGGTCTGTACTTCCATGCCGCCTGGCTGAAGAACAACCCCGAGTTCCTCGACGCCTTCCTGTACTGGATCGATGAGATCCTGGCCAACCACAACGACGTGTACTTCGTGACCATGACCCAGGTGATCCAGTGGATGCAGAACCCACGCACCATCAGCGAGGTCAAGAACTTCGAGCCCTGGAGGGAGAAGTGCGTGGTCGAGGGCAAGCCCGCCTGCTGGGTGCCCAACACCTGCAAGCTCACCTCCAAGGAGGTTCCCGGGGAGACCATCAACCTGCAGACCTGCGTCCGATGCCCCAACAACTACCCATGGGTCAACGATCCCACTGGCGATGGTTTCTTCTAAGTCAGCGGTTAATCCTTATGGACTTCCCTACTTCTCCTTCCAAAAGTAATCCTCTCTTCCACACCCTCACACCAAAACCCCCAAAAACAAAAGAAAAACCCTCAACACAACACAATTACTTGATCGATCGATTACCATCGACTATTTGAATTTCCTGCAAGACTTTTTTATATATTTTTTATATGGACTGACTCCCAGAAGCGGGCAAGTCTTTGCTGTGTTACGGTTATGTTATCACGATTTCAACAAGGAAACTATCAACAAAAAAAGAAAATCTTTAAGAAACTGCAAGACCCAACATCCAAACTTGTGTTTACACTCTTTTTTGTAGTTTTACGTTAATTTGTATGTGTATATTTAAATGATAAAAACAAAGAAAAACAAAAATAAAACGAAAAAACCACAAAAATTTGAAAACAAAAAAAAAATTACAAAAAAAACTTTAATGGTTTTCTTAATTTGAAATCTTTTGTTCCAGCCAAATGCACCAGAAAGCCTAGAAAATAATCTCCAGCTAGCAACAGAAACAAAAATATGATTTCCATCGAAATAAAGCCAGAAAAAAATGGATATACTAGAGACCAATTTGTATGCTATCTACCCACTGACTTACTAACCAGTTTTCGGCATTATCCGACAGGAAAAAAAATCCAAGACACCGAAATTTGAATAACAATAACGCGTTTTTGGTGTTCAGTTTCGATTTCAGTTGAAGTCCGACCGTCCCCCGTCCACCGTCCGACACACGAATATGTGCATTTCATATGTAAATTTTTGGACTATGCCGAGACAGGTTTACGAGCTTTGGGCATTTTGGGCACCTAACACCGATAGCTCCAAAGTGTCGATCGATCCGGTCTAGAATTAGATATATTAGTCTATATTATACAGACATAAAGTATAAAAAGCATCGAGCTTTGCTAATTCGTATGCGCACAAATCAATGCAGAGGGGCGATTTCGTTATGGAGATGGTAAAACTGGTTCTTTTGGGCTTGGTTTTCTACTTAAAGCCGAATTGGATTCGATTTTCGATTTTCGGTTTCAAAGCCTCAGCGTTTCTGTGGACCGGACCCGGGGGCGCTCTTTGCGCAATAATCCCAAACAAATCGAAAAGCTGCTAATTAATTTTAAGCATTGCAAATTTTTGGTCAGAGTCTGGAAATCCCGCATATGCCGTATGGCCCATATGAATACATATAATATTTATATGCTTTACACATTTTGCAGCACAAAATAAATAAATACGGATTTGTTGTATCATTTTTTTTCTTCTTGTATTTGGTACGAATTCGACGCATAAATAAGTTTTATCACCAATCAAGGTAAGCGGCTCTCGGAGCCTCCGAAAAAGTGGCCCAAAAAACGAGTTCCCTACAACTCATATGAGTGTGTGTTTCAGCTGGGAGCGTGTGTGCGAGTGTAACTTGAGCAAACTTTTACTTTTGCCAAGCTGAGGTAAGTGAACTAGTTGCAAAGTGGGCGATTTGCATAAATTGCACACGAGACGACAAACCCGCAGGTAGGCTGGCCCGCACCGTGGAATAGAACACCTGAAAGTGTCACTAAAATAAAGGGGAGATCTCTAAAATAAATACCATCACTTGAGTTTCTGCAATAGTGGTTACCAGGTTTTCTTCAATAATTTCTATAATATATGCTTGTCTACTTAATCTATACTCATTACTTGAAAATTTATTCTTTTTATAAAGGTTCAATAAACTTGTTTTCTTAAAAAAAAACTATTTAACGGAATATTGAATTTTTATTAATTAATAAAACCCCCATATAATTAACTATTCGTGTTTCATTCAAATTAAGAAATGATCCTATTTTTTTTTGTCTTCCCCAAATATTTCTTTAAAAATTTGTCACTTTGGCAATTATGCATGAAATTAAACTTTCGAAATCCTGTTTTAGACAATCCGCCAATTGATAATCACACTTAAATATAGAGTAACATAAATGAGGAGAACCGGTTTCATTCAGAATAGAATGAGATCTCGTAGAACTGGACAATTAATTATTTCATCCAATTAAAATACTGCATATTCTCTGGTCTGATTGTTGAAATTTGAATTCCCTGCTCATGCCATAAATATTTACATATTTTTTCTTAATGGACATTGGGAATTTTCAATCTTTTCTTGTATCTTGGATATTGAGATTGAGGCCCACTGTTTTTGAAAAAGTTGAATAGTTGACGCCCCAACTAGTCAGCCGTATACTTAATTCTCGAATATGCTTCCTTGTTCTGAGATTCGCCAACTTATATCATTAAAATATGTAAGAGATTGCCAATTCGATGACGTCAATGCGGCAAGGTGATCCGAACAGCTTCCAGGTGTGTGATAAGTGGTTGGATTTGTTGCAGCTGTCAGGTGATCAGCAGAAGACATTGCGAATTTTTGACAGGCCATTTGTGAAAAGTTCAAGACGCACATACCCCGGGCCAAACATACAATAATTGCATAATAATGAAGATGGCAAACATTCGAAAATGAAATTAAAAAGCAGATCGCAGCCGATGATGAGTTTTTCAAATGGAAATGAAAATTGAAAGTCAAAGGCAAACACTCTTCCACACGCATACAGTTTCCATATAAACCGAAGACTCAAAACTGAAGACTGGAGACTGAAGACAAACTAAAAAGAAAGTCCGCTATTTGCTGCAGGGGCCTTCGATGCCTTCGGCTTGCCATAAATTAAACGCTTCCCCCCTTTTGGGATCTGAACGGACGGATCGGAACGGAACGGAACGGTTCGTATCGTATTGGATCGGATGGAAGCTGATGACGATATGGTAGGAGCGGTAGGAGGGTGGAGCACGGTTATGCAACTTCAGCTCGTGTTTTACACTTTTTTGTATTTAGTTTTATGGTTATGCATTTCTTTTACAGCTTACAGGCTCATCTTCAGCTTCAACTTCGACTTTGGCTTCGGTTTATTGTCTTGACCATCATTTCCTTCATTAACAATTCCGTTTTGTGTGGTTTTCTCGAAAAAAGTCAATTTCTCTTTTTCCCAATTAACTCTTGTTCTCCTTTCTTTTTCAATTTTTAAAATTTTATAAATTTTAAAAATAATAAAGAACATTTTAAGTATAAGCAAAGATTATAAAGTACTGTACTGTATAATCTTTGGTATAAGCTAGAACTTCAGAAGTTTATGGTTGTAGCAGCCATAAGATGACATGAGGGATCATAGTTTTTTAGGGCTTATAATCCTACCAAACTGTCATTCAAAATTAAAGTTTTATTAATGATTACAATAACTTATAATCGTTAACCTTATAGTATTAAAGCCCATCTGTCTGTGCATATTTATTCAAAATTCGGTGTCCACTTAAGGCCTGATTGGCATGTAAAATATAAGCGGCAGCACCTGTTCATTTAAATTTCTAGGGAACTGAAGCTTGATGCTTTGGCAAATCATTAAATACAGAAAGACAGACAGGTGGACAGATGTGTGAGCATGGCTGAAACCAAATGCCAGACTTTTCATTTTGTATGCAAAATAATTCGCGTTAATTGGTCGAAGGACTTATGGAAAAGCCCATGGGCGTTGCTGATTCGGCTTCGGCACTTTTCAAATCAAAAGTGTGTCATTCACTCTGTAAACTCGAACCGACGACCTTTCCATACGTCTAAGCGCAAAAAAAAATGGAAATAAAAAAATGCATAAAAAAGGTTAAAACGCTTACAAATTTAAATCAAATCAAAGGCAATAACATTAACCAGCGGCGGCTGGCGGCAACAACAACCATACCATTCCACACACAACTAAAATCGACAAAAATCGAGGGCAACTAAATTATGTAAATCCGTAAAACCCAATGAAAAAAATAAAAAAAAAAAATGATAAAATAAAACGATTTTCACTCTTCATCTGCTGCTCATCGCTTTGGGGTGCCATCATATCATCAACATTTTCACTCTAATTGAAAAACCAGTTTTAACAGTTGATTAAACGGCAAGAAGAAGACAAGAAGTAGTAATAATACTCACTGTTTTTTTTTCCTCCTTTTTTTATCTTTTAATTTTTTACTTTCGATGTGATGTGGTTGAGGGATTATATCACCAGTGTGCTGAAATTAATTGTAACTAAGAAAATGCTGCAATCATCGGCATTTCGCGAAAAAAAAGAGAAGAAGGTGAACGGCTTTTTTTTGCAGCCGCACCAGCAGCAGCATCTTCGTGCCAATTGGTGGACAGCCTTGGACTCCAATTGCCGCAATATCAATTAAAATGTATAATACCTGTGATCCGTGTGAGCGATTCCAAGAATTTTCCAGTACACCCGCTGTGAACAAGCAAAAAATAAAGAAACATTGCTCATACGCCATGTTGGCTTTTCTGCATTCTCCATGTTCTCTATTTTTTCTTATTTTTTTTTGTAGAACTCGTTTTCAAGTTCAGGAAATAGCTATGCAATGAGCCGCATAGACAATATACTGGAAATATTCGAATAAATTGCATTAACACGCCACCACCATCCATTCCTTCTAGATCAGACCCGATCCTTCTAGATCAGACCCGGGCACTTAATTGACATTGCTCTGGGGCATTACGAGTATATGTTTTATGGCCAGTATATGGCCCGCTGGCCAGTTGGTCGTTCAAGTGATCTGGAAATAAAATCAAAAGTGGCAACCATATTGAAAAATTACCTGACGGTCGTGCTATGATACTGATGCTCGAATGAACTTGACAACATCATAAAAAAGTAACAAGAATCTAAGATTCTAATAGTTTATAAATACTCTTTCCGGTGTACTCTAGGCTGGGGCTTAGGGTTAGGATTATATTCTAATTTTAAAGTGAAATATATTAGGAGCTAAAATTATGAATTAAAAAAATTTGAGAGAGGCTTAGGTACAGTCTAATTCTTCTTATTTGCTTAAGGATCTTTAATAGACAGACTGTAGAGTTTTACATTTCAGCAAACTTTTCATAGTTTATTAATAGGGTTTTTCGAATAATTTAAATCTAATAGAGAGCTTCTATCGAATACCAAATATGATGTTATATTTATTTTAATAAATGACTTAAACTACGTTTTATTTTTCCCACCTTCTTATAACCTCTTGAATTTGTATAAATTTTTATGGATCATCATAAGCTATGAACCATTTAAAGGTTTAAAGAGAAATGGCCTTCAATTATAAAAATCTTTTAATATTCTTCATAAGTATTATCAGAACCATAAAAAGCACTCAAGGTATTTCAAAAAAAATAAGGATTTCGTGACCAACTTTTCCAGACCTGAATCGTTAAGTAAACTGATCAAATCGGGCAAATGCTTTCTTCTGCTAAAATATCGTCAATGCATCATTTGTTTGGCAAATATTGACAATTTCCTGCTGATCCCCGTTACCAAGTGCTTGGCCATTTGCGCATACCCAGTGTTGTGTTTATTTTTTTTTTTTGCAAAGTGTCTGCAAGTTGTCCCCAACGATTTTATATCCGCAAACATGCTCCGTTTTGTTGTTGTTATTTTTTTTTTTTTGCGATTTTATTGTTGTTTCTGTTGGAGTCGTTACTCACACACTTGCCCACTCTTGGATGGTTTATTGAATAACAGGCAGCCGGCAGCAGTCAGTTGGTAGGTTGGTTGGTATGTGGCCCTTAAACAGCCTGCATCTCCTCCATCTGCTTTACATAACACAACAGTTGGGAGTGTGCAAAAAATACACAAAAAATGCAAAAAGTAAAAAACAAAACAGTTAACAACGGCATCATCGGTTTGTGCCATTAATTAAGAAACTTCAATGATCTTCGGAGGATCAGAGCCAAATTTAAAACCTCTGACTCTTCATAAGCAATCAGAAAATAAGACTCTCTTTTGCTGGAGAGTTCCAGGGCGAAGAAAAGGTTTAATAACCTTTCTGTGTCTTAGCCACGTTAATAAGAATTTTATGCGACAGCTGCCATTTGCATACAAAATACGTACATACAGTACGTACCCGGGTGGGAAGCTTCGAGATCCAACTGATCACGAATTAATATGCATAGGACATGCCTTACCTCTAAAAACTGATTGAGATTCTGGGCCTGTTGTGGTGAAAATAAAAACTTACTAGACAATAAACGTGCAGAAGAAAACAGTTGAAGAAAATGACGAAAATACAAAAAAAAAAGAAGAAACAGTTACGAAATCGAGATTTTGTATAATAGTTTTCGGGTAGAATAACGATGCCGCAGATGTTCAAACAAAAGGCTAACAATTTCAGGGTCAGTGGCAGAAAAAGATTGATGGGCAATCGGATTTGATTTATGTCTAGAGCCATATGACTAAATAGCCGAGCAAACAAGCCCAATAGGTGCAGTCCGTCCAAAGAAATCAACATCAACATCCAAATCAAAATCGAATCCCCCACACAATTGGTAATAAAAACACAAAAACTAAAAAAAAACTCAGACGTTTCCCGCTCACACCTGCACCTATAAATGCTAATTAGCCTTTCTTCACACCAAGAGAGAAGAAAGAGAGGTAGGGAGTGTTTTCTTTCGAATAGGTTCCACAAAGTACGAGTGCGTTTGCTTACCCCTTTGAAAGCTTTTGCGCAGGCGCAGCCGTGATCGCGACGCTGTGGTGACTATCGCACAAAGTCACCACAACCGCTAAGCCGGCCAAGACACCTCGGCTTAATAAATAGAACTCGATGCAGGTGGCCAACACCTAGTGTAAGCGTGGCTGTGTATTGGAAGAGTGGCACCGATCACTCCACTTCCATTCCAACCGAACCAACCATAATATACCTGGAAACATGTTAGTAAAGTTTCAAGTCTTTGCTGTAATATACCTTATTATATTTATTGTGATTTGTGTTGGCTAACTGTTGGTATTAATTTTGGATTTCGTTTCCGTTAGAGAGCGCTGGATTCCGTCATGGCGCGTTGGTGGCCAATTTTGAGCGTTGTGTGCCTTTGCCTGGCAGTGGGTGAGTACTTGAATAATTAGCCTTAGTACCTAGTACTTAGTGCCCCGTTGACCTTTGCCGGTGGAAACTCTTGCCATTTTGCAAGGTTGCAGAAAAAAAAAAATAGAAATACATAAATAAAAAGCCACTTGCTGGAGCTCTTGTCTCGGTCGTTGGCCAAGGCAAATAAACTTGAAAAACTTTTGAGGATAAATAACAAAGTCATTAGCAGCATGCAACCGTTCAAGTCTTATCCTTCAATCGATGATATAAGAGAGCTTCACTTAAACACCAAACCAAAAAAAAAAATAACGTGGCCAATAAAAAAATAAAACTGTGGCATGAGGACGAAACCGGAGCTGGCCATAAAATAAAATTAGCATAGGAAATCGAATAAAACCAAAACCAAAACCAGCGGCCATCGGTTCCGTTTTATTATATATGTATATACCAATATTTTTTTTTGGACTCGGCAACTCGGCTGTTTATGCAATATCATTTTAATGTTAAATCGAAAACGGGTTTCCAATAAACCAGCAAAAAAAAAAGCAGAAATACAAACAACCACGTCTAGCCAATGCACAAACCCGTTTGGAGCAGACACCTTACATGACAATCCACCAGATAGAGATATATCTGCTCCACAAATGGGTAAACTCCCGTCGGAGCCGCCACTTTCGTTTGCCCTTTCGTTTTCGTTTGAAAGATGGCTGATAAAACGCGGCTGTGAACAAAAATGAGAGTGGTTTTGGTCGGCTAGAAGTGGTACTCGTATTACCAGGCGGCTCAAAGCCCACAAACCGGTTGAAAGTCGCTCGCGGCTCGGCAGTAGGCGAAGCAGTTAATCCACGAGGTGGGGCCAATTACATTTGTTGGCTTAATTGCACCATCAGAGATTACCGAGAATTAACTGGAAGCCTTCTAGAATTTTTCGGCTGCACCAAACAGTCAATTAAATATATTTCATTATATATTACACAAAGACATTAAATAGACATAATAAAAGTTACAAAATCATTAAAAAGGCTTTAAAAAGTTAATTGGATAATTAAAGATTGCTGAGAACTAACTGCATTTCAACATAAAGTAACATTTAATAGAAGGTACTTAGAAAACTTATTTAAGAAAAGCAAGGTTGTTTATAATTAAAACAAAGTAAGGTGTTATTATTCAAAAATTAATAAGAGATCTTTCTTACCCATTTTATAAAGGGTATCAATGGGAATCTTCTAGTAAGATAAGAACTGTTCTCAAGTTAAATCCTTACTAACTCATAAACCTTCTTGATTGCCTCCTTATCCTTAGCACATGGCCAGGACAAACTGGAAGGCGTTGATGTGGAGGAAGTGTGCGCCGATCGTCCTGCGGATGAGTACTTCCGCTTGGAGACTGACGGCGATTGCCGTGAAGTGTACAGGTAAGTCCTTAGACATCACAAGAATGTCCGATAGCTCAGCACTGAATGGCTGATATATTTGCACAAAAAATATTAGAAAAATACACAACAAACAAAACGTATTCTTGCACCTTTTTGCTTCGCGTTTTTTGCCAAAAAAATAAAAAAGATGCGACAGTGCCGGCGAAGTTGGCACCAGCCGTCTGGCATCGATTCGCTGTGCCGGCGGCCTGGCATTCGATGTTCTGCGCCAGCTCTGCGATTGGAAGTCGAATGTGAAGAATTGCGATGTCCTCGAAAGTAAGTGGACCAACCGAACCACCCTCCCAACTGTCCCAAAGGGATACTGGCGGCTCCGAATACTTCCCCCCACGAGCCTCTGCCTACTATCCCTTCTATGTCTATCACTTTGTCTACGTCTATGTCTATGTCTGTCTATCTGTATCTCACCTGTGTGTCACTAAAAACCCAGGGGGTAGTCCCCCAAAAATCAATCGAGTCATTGCATAAACACCCAGCCAACCCAGTGTATCCTTTTGTATGTCCTGCAAATAAATCAAACGCCAAAGTTCACTTAGCTAGAAAAGCGACAGAAAAGCATTCCAGAGATCAACAGCCACATCAACATGAACTTTATTTTTTAGATGTACTAAGTCGGGCTTGAAAGAAATTCAATGTCCCTCCGGTCTGGCCTTCGACGTGATCAAGCAGACCTGCGACTGGAAGGCCAAGGTTACCAATTGCGATGAGAAAGAGAGTAAGTGTCTTACTTAGCCAGATTTTTTAAAAAATATTCAACAAATTCTTGGAACACTTGTACATACAGTAGCCAGCAATGTTAGATTTTCGGAACTTTGGTAGAACCAAAAAATAATTAAAAACAAAAATCCTTACTAATTTCCCACCTTTGTAATCCATTCATCAGACTCATGTGTAAATACTTCCCATTTCAAAATTTAGACACTCGTTTGTCACTAACTAATAATGCTTTTACAAATGATTTCCTTGAGATGTTCCCAATTAACTTATTATCCACCAACTTTTCAGAGCCCCGCAAGGCCAAGCCCATCCTGAAGACGGATGAGCCCATCTGTCCCGAGGGTAAGCTGTCCTGCGGCGACGGCGAGTGCCTGGACAAGGAGCTCTTCTGCAACGGCAAGTCTGACTGCAAGGACGAGTCCGACGAGAATGCTTGCTGTAAGTTTACTTTTAGAAATAACATTAAACTAATGATTACTACTAAAAAGAACAGTATCATACGTCATAGAAGAAACTTTTACCCGCAACAGTGCGTATGAGTAATATTACTGATCCGCACTGTTTCCCTTTATGATTTTTTTTTTGACATCGGTTCCTGAGATTTCAGCCTATTTCTCTTTTTGAGATTGTTTAAAGCCGATTCCTGACCCAAAACTCTTTTCCCCTCCACAGCCGTCGATGAGGATCCCAACCGCGCCCCCGAGTGCGACCCCACCCAGTGCGCCCTGCCCGATTGCTTCTGCTCGGCTGATGGAACCCGCATCCCCGGCGGCATTGAACCCCAGCAGGTGCCCCAGATGATCACCATCACCTTCAACGGTGCCGTCAATGTAGACAACATTGATCTGTACGAGGACATCTTCAACGGCCAGCGCCAGAACCCCAACGGCTGCTCCATCAAGGGCACCTTCTTCGTCTCGCACAAGTACACCAACTACTCGGCGGTGCAGGATCTGCACCGACGTGGCCACGAGATCTCCGTGTTCTCGCTGACGCACAAGGACGACCCCAACTACTGGACCGGCGGCAGCTACGACGACTGGCTGGCTGAGATGGCCGGCTCCAGGCTGATTGTGGAGCGTTTCGCTAACATCACCGACGGTTCGATCATCGGCATGAGGGCTCCCTACCTGCGCGTGGGCGGCAACAAGCAGTTCGAGATGATGGCTGACCAGTTCTTCGTGTACGATGCCTCCATCACCGCCTCCCTCGGCAGGGTTCCCATCTGGCCATACACTCTGTACTTCCGCATGCCCCACAAGTGCAACGGCAACGCCCACAACTGCCCGTCCCGTAGCCACCCCGTCTGGGAGATGGTGATGAACGAGCTGGATCGTCGTGATGACCCCACCTTCGACGAGTCCCTGCCCGGTTGCCACATGGTGGACTCCTGCTCCAACGTGGCCACTGGTGAGCAGTTCGCCCGTCTTCTGCGCCACAACTTCAACCGCCACTACAATAGCAACAGGGCTCCTCTGGGTCTGCACTTCCACGCCTCGTGGCTGAAGTCGAAGAAGGAGTACCGCGACGAGCTGATCAAGTTCATCGAGGAGATGCTGGGACGCAACGATGTGTTCTTCGTGACCAACCTGCAGGTGATCCAGTGGATGCAGAACCCCACCGAGCTGAACTCGCTGCGCGACTTCCAGGAGTGGAAGGAGAAGTGCGACGTCAAGGGCCAGCCCTACTGTTCCCTGCCGAACGCGTGTCCTCTGACCACCCGGGAGCTTCCTGGCGAGACCCTCCGCCTGTTCACGTGCATGGAGTGCCCCAACAACTATCCCTGGATCCTGGATCCCACCGGCGACGGCTTCTCCGTCTAAGGACCTTTTAACTTCTTCTCTAACATCTTCCCTGAAACAGGAGAACAACTCACAGTAGTTCCACCGAGAGTCTGATAAACTAAAAACAACAAAAAACACAAACAAACAAAAAGAAATCTTAAATCCAGCGAGAACTATCTACAAAAATACTCAAATTGTTGCATCTTTTGTGATCCTAACCAGTTTCTACTTTTTTCCACCTCTATTATTTATGTAAATTTTATTTTCCGACTCCCACATCTCTCGTCCACTTTCTACTTTCTCTTCCGTATTTCCTTCTATATCTTGTATCTTTGTTTTCCTCTCTCTCTTATGTTGATAAAGTGATTTGTTTTAATTTACTTCGCTGCTTCTTTGACGAAAGTTCAAAGTTTATTTTCACAAACCAACAAAAACCCAAGCGCCAAAAATCGCAGCAGCAGATATATCTTCGTAATTGTATAAGTATTTTTTATAAGAAATATATAAAAAATATATTAAAAAAACATTAAATATAAAGTGTTTTTCTTACAGAAATAGAATTAGAAAACTTGGTTATTTGAGTGCTATTTCATAATCTTTATTCAAGCTGTGCCCTTTGCACTTGCCAAATTACTGGTAACTACATTTTGTTCTTTAATTAATTAATTAGCTAACATTATTATATGTAGGCCTTAAAGCATTTTCAAAACTACATAAATGACAGATTTTAAGGATCAATGGGTTAAAGAGGGAATTATAATAATACAATCCAAATGAAATCCGAAATCCTGTAAAATCTGTCATCTACATCAGTTGGTTTCACTTTTAAAGCACTGGTAAAAACGTAGCATTTGTTAATGGACGATATTGAACCCAGATCAGATCGGATCAGAGTCATATTAAAACCAGATTATAGCCACAGACGCACTTGCTGATCCCAACTGGTCGAGGCTAGACACATGCCGTTGGGGCACAGGCTGATGCAAGTGATGCGGTTCTCGTGACCAGACATTGTGCCTTAAAAAGAAGAGAGAAACACCAACAAAAAATCGATATAAGTCAAGTGTCAAGTGTGGCATGAACAAAGTGCCCCAATTCCCATCTCCCCCACCTGATGCAATGGATACCCAATTCCAATACCCACCCGTGTGCCGCTGCTTCATTGTATCCCACGAATGCACGTTGCCCTCAATGCCGGCGCACATGAGGTAGCGTCCGCTGGTCGATAGAGCTAATGAGCACACAAAATCAGATTAAAACCTCTTAAAAGTCAAGGCGACTACGACAAATACTACTCTAGCCAAAGACTATAGGCCAGACGGCAAGAAAAAAGAAAGACAAACGCACCGCACGAAGTGAAGCCCGTGTTCTTTTGGGGCGGCTCATAGAGTCCGATTTGCTGGTCCGCCCTCAGGTCGTACATGCGCGCCGTCTGGTCCTCCGAGCAGGAGGCGAATCCAAAGCCACTGGGATGGTACTGAAAGAATGTAAAAATATGTATCATTTGAGGTTAAAGATATCGTTACTATATGCTACTGTAGTATAGAAATCCTAACTCACACAGACAGAGGACACATCCATGTCATGACCAAAGAACATCTGCTTGTGGCCCTGTTCGCGTACATCCCACAACTTGGCAGTTTTGTCCACAGAACCTGTGATGTAAGTATTCATATCGGGGGACAGGGATAGACCGGCAATATCGCCAGCATGACCATTAAAGTCCATTGTCTTGACGCCCTTCTCCAGATCCCAATGGCAGCTATTGAGTAATATTATTTAAGATACATACTAACGATAATTTCCGTAAGAGAACCCACATTTTCATATCTCCCGAGCCCGTGATAAGATGGCCATCATCCAGGAAACGACACGAGCTAAGGAATCCCTCGTAGCCCATCAGTTCCTTGACCATCTTGGCCACGCCGGAGGCATCCCGGTTGTTTACATCGTAGACCGTGCACTGGTTATCCATACCGCCACATGCCACAAAGTTTCCCGATGGCGAAAAGGCCACCGTCATAACCCAGGCCGATCTCAAAGGGATGATCTGCACCTTGTTGGCGGTCCATGTGTCCCAGATGATCAGTTTGCCATCCAAGGAGCCGGTGACGCAGTGCCTCGAGTCCCCAGCAAAGTGTACGGAGTTCACCTTATTGATGTGCCCCTTGAGGATCTTTTTCGACGAGAAACGGATTTTGGGGATGTCGCCCATGTCGCCGCACTTGTCGGCCAAAGTGCAATCCGCCTTGCTTTTTTGGTCATCCTAGGAATAGTATTATATAATTTAATTAATTTGTATCTGTCACATTTTTAAGACCTCTTATCACAAAGTTTTAAATAAGTCCTTATACAAATATCGTTTTTTAGATTGTTTTTTGCGATAAATCTTAAAATATATCAGTCCACATGAAGAAATATAATAAACCTTAAACTTTTGTATCATTCCATTGATTTCGTCGTAAAGTTTCTGTGTTTCCGCATCAATTTTCGGCATGATTGAGCATTAACTAACGAACCGAACCGCAATATTTGCCAAGGAAGTATTTATTTGATTTAAACAGCACCGCGTCGCACAATAAACTAAATTTTAAACGAAATCGTTCCGTCTGCATGTTATGATGTTTTCTTTTTCCAACGGCGGTAATGCAATTAACTAATTGGATTAGACGTTAAAGACAAATGTATAAACACATTGTTTTTGGCGCCCATAAGTTTAAATAGAACCGAAGAGGGCTGCCAACCTCAATGTAACATATAACAGTGCGACCAGACTTTGGTGATTTAGGTTTTTAACGTGACCATATTTTAAACAGAACAAAAATAAGTATTGTATGTGCTTACCAACACTAAAATGAACAGCTGATGGAGAGTGACTCCCAAACCGTAACACCTGTTCGGTCACTGTCACATCATATTGTTTAGCCAGCTTTTATTTATTAAAACGCGTAAATAAACAAACCGCCAGCATGGATAGAAAGTAGAGCGTGTAATGGACACGCTGCCTTGTGCCAACCAGCTGCAGGAGCCGTCGCAGCAGCCTCAGCAACATCAGCAGCAGCTCGTGAATCTCAGCTTGGACGCGAATCTGGCGGAGAATATGGTCAGCCTTCCCAAGGAGCTGGTACTCATATCGCTGGTATCCCAAGAGCAGTCTCTTTACAATCCCAAGCATCTCCACTACAGAAGCACCAAAATCAAAGATGAAAAATGGCTGGAAATCGGCCTCAGTGTAGGGTGGTCAGGTCAGTGGCGGATGTCTCTGAATTCTGCAAAAATTTACATCACTGTTCTCTTCCCCAGATGCACAATGCAAGTCCAAGTGGAAAGCTATGAGGGATCAGTACTGCCGGGAACTGAAACGCGCCAAATCCTGTGCCAAAGCTGTGAAGTGGAAATACTTTAAGGAGCTGGACTTTTTGCGTCCCTATGCTTTGGCCAGGAAGTAAGTTACCTTGACATACTCTAACTAGCTTATAACCCCTTGATAATTCAGTTATAGAGGAAAATCTGGGCAGAGCAACAATGGCCTTGTCTCCACGGTCACCCCCATGTCGCTTCCAATGAGTAACTCCTTCAGTAGCAGCAGTAACAGCCAGAACCTCAACCTCTCTGGCAGCATTAAAATAGAAGATGCCGGTGCTACCACACTGCTGGACACCTGCAGCTTCAGTTCTGCCAGCACGCCTGATAAGAAAACAGGCGCCACCTTTATGGCAAGCCATATCAGCACTGTACTGCAGCAACAGCAGCAGACGCAGCCGGAGACCAACTGGAATTATCTAACAGACTCTGGTGGCGGCAGTGCCCCATCAATTATAGTGCAGTGCGGAACTGCTAGCACGACCACGGTGGTGGACAATCTTTACAAAGAGATTGTGGATTGTGTAAATGCCGCAAATCATTCGACTTCCACGGCCACGGCTGGAGGTGGCACTGTAGCCGGCACAGCAGCCGCCTCAAATGCCGAGGAGGAGGACGATGATCCCATACACACCTTCCTGAATATGGAGAGCTACTTCGAAAAGGAACTGATCACGCTGATACAGCAGGAGGATATGATCTACAACTACAGCAACGAGAACTACCGCAATGCCAAGCTAAAGATGGAGGTGTGGGAGGAGATAGCCAGGAAGCTAAAGAAGTCGGGTAGGAGTGGTATTATATTACAATGAAAATTGTATAAACTCTATACTCTAATAATAGTGAAACAATGCCGTCTAAAGTGGAAAGCATTAAGGGACCAATATGCCCGGGAACATAAGCGTTTAAGGACTCTGATGCACATTGATGCCACTTCGCGCTGGAAGCACTATGATTCGCTTAGCTTTCTGCAGAAGTTTATACAACAGAAGTCCTTGTAAGTAGATGAGTTTTATGGAAATTGCATTTTTTTTTACTTGACTGACTTATTTCAGAGACGGGGATCCTCAATTAAGCCTGCTTTTGCCAAAACACGACGCCGTTAGGGAGCTGGAAGAACACATGGTTCAGTCCGAGTCACCGCCCACGCAACAGAGCAACTTGGAGTCCTCTTCATCCAATTCGCAACTTTACATGCCTGCCCTGCCCCACCTGACGGGCCCCCACAAGTCTGAAATGACAGAAGCTCTACAAGATCAGCAGCAGCCACAAAATCAAGATCAACGGCATCAGCAACAGCAGGCGAGCGAGATGTGTGTGGCCACCTACGATGACATGGAGCTAGAGAACTATATCAATGGTGATGCCCACCAGGAGGATGAAGAAGACGACGAAGAAGATGACGAAATGGAAACCGCAACGGGCACGGATCAAGCGCCACAGCAACAGGAGCAGCAAATGGTGAGCTATGATCACGAAGAAGGATCTGTATACATGGCCGTTCAGACCGTGAGCAATGCTCTGGCTAAACAGGAACAGGCTAGTGTCAGAGCCACCCATATGGAGCACCAACAGCTGCATTCAACGGCGGAATATCAGCAGAAACTTGACATTCAGCCTGCCAGCACTCCCCGCTACCAGAATTCCGCTAGCACTCCCAGCTCCTCTTCCACGTCGCGCTATCATTCGACTCCGATTACCACACACAAACCAACCAGCCATGTGGAGTTTCCGCCCACCAATGGACACAATTCCGGCGAGGATGATGAGATCGGGGCCTTTTTCAAGGCAGTAGCCATGAAAATCCGCAACGCTCAGCTGGAACCAGTGGCCTTCACTGATCTGCAAATCGATATTCTCCGCGTCATCAACGAGGCTCTGAGGAATCACTAGTACTCGTCGAAGATCAGATTTACTTTATGTAGGCCATCAAAGGTTTCAGGACGTTTCATTTTAGACAATAAGTGTTATTTTCAAAGTGTTTTTCTATTTTTTAATGAGTTGATATTTTTTGTACCTACCTACTCTTTTATTTTCAAAATATCCCATTGGCTGCATAGCTCCGATGATATACTTAACAATGTGTTGCATGTATTGTATATAGACCAAAAGGCGGAAGGACGGAATGTAATAGTGTTTATTAGCATAGGATGGCTCCGGTTGAAAAAATCATCCCGGAACTACAAGATTTCAAACTATTTTTTAAAGAATATTTATATCCAAATCGATTGTAAAGAACTCTTAAAATAGCGAAACAAAAAAAATATATGTATATTTTGAAAGCAAAAAGTTAATGGCTTTGTGTTTAATCTTTGTCTCTTAATTCATCGTTTTAGTTAATCATATTGAAGAAGGAACAATATACTCCAAATAGAATAAAAGGGTTATTTGGTTTTCTTTAAAATCCTCTCTTGCTTCAAACCCTTGATACAACTTAAAGCCCATCCTTTGTATCCTTGCTGGGTATAGAAATCAATGTATCTGGTAGTTAGAACTGGTAGTTGATGTAGGCATGGCTCCATCCCTCTGGATTCCATCCGACACCCATCCCGCAGCTCAATACAAACATTTGAAGAAACGACAAAGCGTAGGAGCAGCTGCCTTCAAGTGGAGCACTTGCAAAGAGTCATCCCAACCCCATGGAAGCGCGGCGTACATAAGAGTACGTCTTTCTCATATACAAGCACTATATAAATTCGCTTGTGTATATATACTGGTGCCCCCTCTATATAAAGACTCTACTGAGGGGGGACACCTGGCTCGTGCCACTGAAAATGGCCTCCCTTTGGCATAGGACAGAAACCGGTCCACGACTGGCTTCCAATGGGCAGCCGGCTCGAGTGAGACAACCGTAGTGCACGTATATATACTTGTCCGTAAACGGGGGCGGTTCCCAATGGCATGCCACTGGGTGTGGCCATCCATCCCCCTCGGAAAATTTCAGCAGCAGATGCCACCAGCTGGTACCTGCTGCTGTTGCGGCTGCTACTCTCTGCTGCTGCCGTCGCTGCTCGGAAAAATTTATGTAAAAGTGAAAATTTTTTAATAAACATTTTCATTTACGAACGGAAGTTCCGATTGCCGGGCTAATCAGAATCGTAGCGAACTTTGGAGCCCTGGAAAATATTTGCCATGGGCTCCATGCCTGATTGATTCCTTTTAACCATATGGGGGTTTCATTCCGGCAATGGTTCAATTGTTTTGGTTTTGGTTTCTGTCCATTCTGTTTACTTTTGCAATTAATTTCCATTCCTTGCTAAATGGTTGAGTGCGCGAGTTTTAATTAAAATTATGTGGGTTTGGTTTCGCCCTCAATGGGGGTTTGCGGATTGATCAACAGGGAATGTCAGTGGTTACAGTTTAATAAATCCATTTTTATAGACACAGAAAACACTCTTTTACTTTTTGTTAATTGTATTCCGTATATTTATATATATTGGAAGAATTTCATATATATTTCATATTTATTAATACATTTTTACTCTCTTTATAAATTTAAACATATTCTAAAAGGTTACTAATAAAAGTGTTTTATTTGACTTACTTATCGGCTCTGAGATAGCTTTATTTTTTAAAGTTCATTTCAAAGTTTGTCCATTAAGCTATTATTGTTTTAAACTCCTTTAATAGTTTCTATATTATTCTATCATTATTGACAAATTTGTCTTTTTTTTGTAAAAAGGTTATTAGAGAGGTTACGGTCTTAGAGATCAGATACCATTCTTTTAGATACCAGAATTTTATATATTTTATCTCATTATTTGAAAGAATGAATATTAAATATTAGTCTATGTTTTATTATCTTCAAGATACGTAAACAAAAAAATTCTGCATATTGAACCAAGCTTAAAAAACAAAATAGGTTAGTGTTCCATATTACAAAAAAATTCCCACAAAAAAGCCACATCATTTATTTCCTCACAACATAAAACGAACAACTTTAAAGAACATTTTGAGCCTCAAAAGCAAATCCGCAATAATACTTATCGAGACTCACCTTATCACATTATGGCACATTTTCGTAGCAATTTCCAGGACACGGAAACTATTTTCGCGGCTCATTTAACAGGTGTGTCCCAGCCCGGTTGGAGGAATCATAAAAAATACATAAAAATACACATTTTTATGGCTTGAGGGCTAGTGTGGCAAGTGGCAAGTGGACGGGATTCTGAGACTCTGGCACAGACAGAGTTAAACCAATTTGCAACACCCATCCACCCTGGGATATTAAGTATATCAAATTTTCCACGATTACGAATACGCCTCAACGAATTCACGCCCACGGGCTGGACTTGAATATATTCGAGACTCATTTCCTGCCAAGGAAGGAAAAAAAATTGAAAAAAAATGCGATAAAAAAGCCTGAAGCTTTGGGTCAAAAAGATACAAAGATACAGCGACAAAATGCTGACAAACTGTTGAGTGAATGTTGTCCCTGCTCCTTTCGCTCCTTTCGGATACTCGAACTGAACTGTTATCATAAATAAAGTCAAGCCAAATGTCAGCGACAGGCCTCATATCATAAAGCAAATGCAAGTGGCGCAGTGAATCGAAATCGAGGCGAGCATTCAGGCCCAAACCATTCACGATTTATTGTCCGATATGCGATGCACTTTTCCCCGGTGCCGATCCCGATCCTGGTCCCCTTCACAAGCCCCCCTCAACTATACTATACACTTTTTACCATTTCCCCCAACTCCTTTGGACTGTCTCTCTGTTAAACTGAATTGTTTCCGGGAACTGAACAGCAGCAACAATGGTAGCTGCAAAGCGCTGAAAAGCTTGTAAAACATTTGTAGCAACTGCAACTCGAGAGTCCGGAGGAGTTGCTGTGCCCGTGCCCGTGCCCCAACCCAAAGCCCAACAACCAGTGCCCACTGGCCACTTTGCAATGTGGCATGGATGTGGCAGCTACTGTTGACCACGTTCACTTCACCGCCGAAAATGTTTTATTCATAAAGCTTAGCGACAAGATCGTCGCCCGTTGGCTGTAAATGTGGTTTTCTACTTTCAGAAAAAAAATAGTTCACTTTTTTGTAAGATATTTAAAAAATAAAAATCTTTAAATCTTGGAATATAACTTTTTTAGTCTTAAAAGTTTTCATTTTAAGAAAAACGTTTTTTAAAAGCTCTTCAAGAACCCGTATCTGTTTAAAAAAGGCAATCAAGTTCTTGAACTCTTTTCTAAAGTATTTAAAAGTATTTGAATCTTAACTATTTAATCCCTCCTGTTAAATGACTTTTATGTTTAAAATGTTAAATTGTTTCTAATCGTCAAGGAATTTCTTAAAACAAAATATAATCAAAGTGATCTGACCAACATTTAATTCCTATAATAGTTGAATTTGTTCAAAACAAACCTTAGAAACCTCTTTAAATAACTCCTATAATTATTGTCTCCTAATTTTTCCAAGTGCATAAAACGATACTGCTGGTGTGGAGCCAAGTGAACAGAAACCCAAGCCTATGCTAATTTCACATGCAACTTATCAGCCGACGCGCATCTTGTCCAGCTTTTGTGCGAGCGACTGTTAGAAATGGTCCTGAAAACCATCTACTCGTCCATCTTCAGCTCCGAAACTGAAAACTGAAACTGTCCCCGTTCGAAAACTCACAAAGGGGTGCTAATCGCCAAATTTACAACTTGATGCAAAACTTTGGCCCGCAAATGGGCCAGAAAACAAAACGACCGCAATACCAAAAAGATACTTAGTAGAGCGGGGTATGGTGGGTGGTTTGTTTTTGGGGGATTTTTGCCAGCCCGAACTATAAAAATGCCAAAAAACAAGAAAGAAAGAAAGGGATGTGTTGCCAAGCCGGAAACTGTCCGCACTTTCACTCGCCCCTCTAAGCAGGCAACACAAAATGTAACATTTGAAAAATTTACTTTTTTCACACTCACCATCAGAAAAACGCGACAAAGTGTGGAAAACAAGAGATGGAGATCCAGAGTGAGATGGTATTTGAAGAATAGTGGGTTAAGATAAAAAAAATATTATTAATTTTAGAATTAGTAGTTTTTCAAGGTGAATAAAAAGGAAAGCGAAAAGAATCTCTTCAAAAACTAGGATACAGTTTTAAATAAACGTTACCCTGCTATTACAAAAAACTAGGATCTATAATTCGAACCATCAAGTACCTTTTCCAAAATATCATACCACTGTTCTTCACCCAGTTGAGGGTTATTTAGTTTTGGTTACTAAAAGGGGTACTTTCGTTCCACAGGCCAGGCCGCATAGTGTTAGCCAAAAGACACATAACACTTTGTTATTTGCGCTTGACAAAGTTGGGCAGCGAGACAAACGGCGTTAAAAGTGCTTAGTGCCTTGGTTTAAAGCGAATCCTATCCTTTTTCTCCCCCCTCTCTCTGCAGGATAAAACAGATAAAAACGCACACGAGGCACGTGGTCTGGCGGGGATGGGAGGAATACCAAGTGAATTGGGTGCTAATATGGTCAAAAGCATTGCATGGAACACAACTTTCCTTACCTCCAAGGGGTGGGGACTTTCCCAAATGTCTATTTTTTTGCGTTGTATTTTATTTTAAAATTTTAAAGATTTGCACACGCTGATAGGCAGGAAGGAATGGCTAAACATATAGGAACAAATAAATCTCAGACAAAAGGAAACGGATAAAGGATATTTGCGGAATTTAAGGACACGTGTGTGTGGAGAACGGAAGGCAGTTGGAAATCGTTTAGCGGGGTGACTTTTCCCATATGATGGTGTTCCTGTGGTTGGGGTATGGCATCGGAGGGGATGGATACTTTGGTATGGAGCGACCAAGCTGCAAAAGTGCCAAAATGCCAGGCGCGACAAGCTCCAACACCTGAAACCCAACAAAAACTATATACCAATATACGAGAAACCCCTGCCCAAGCAGCCTTCGTGGCCTCCATCCATAGCCCAAGATCATGATCCATGATCCACTCATTGCAGACGCACAAAAACAGCAAGCGGCTCTGGCAAAATGTCAACTTTATTAAAAGAAATTATAAATTGGTATGCCAGT